TGTGGCTCAATCTCTGTAGCACCTCAATCATTAGAACCGCCTTGTTCGACTCAAAGTCCTGATAGCAGAACCTTGCATGATGGAGAGTCCTTGGCGACTACCCATGGCCGCTTGTTCGCTCGCGCATGGATAGAGAAACTGAAGGTTGAAAGCCTGAGATCAATGCGATGAGATCAAGAATTCTTTCAGATTAGTGGATGTGACAGTATGGGTTGGGATCGGTAGTTGGACAAGGGTGAGGGCGAGTAGAAAGGGGAGGACGTGAGGGAGGGTCCGAGAAAAGGAAGAGAAGGGTTCGCACTAGACCTGGTTGTGATGATATGATCGCACTCCCCCAGGGCGATCTGTTCCGTCAGTGCCTGGGAAGAGGAGGAGCATCGACGAGTAAGAAAGGAGCAAGACTAGCCCAGCACGCAGCTTACATGAACGTGATGGCGATTGTCAGGCTTTACTGAGTGTTTGCTGCTCCAAACTCTGACCTGGTCGGGAACCAACTTGCGGAACTCCTTGCGGACCCAGTGCTGCCAGGCCGTCAGGCATGCAGAATATGCTGATGAGAGTTGGGAGACCGAGTCCGTCGCTAGCAGGTAGACAGTAGTGTTCTTGTTGGGGCAGAGTTGGAGGCTGGAGGAGGAGAATGAGAAGGGGGGACTGGGGCGAGGTAAGAAATTAAACCTGCAGTCAAGGTACTTCTTCAGGCTTTCTTCCGGCCTGTTGTGATCGACGTAGTGATAGTGGTCGGAGGGTTTCCCCCACCTTGAGACAGCGAGTGAGAAGAGAAGAAGAGCAGAGCAGGGCAGAGCAGAGCAGAGCAGAGCAGAGCAGAGCAGAGCAGAGCAGAGCAGAGCAGAGCAGGAGGGGGATGGGGATACAACAGCAATTTCAGAGGACAAGGATATGTTTCACCGTATGTGGATTCCTATCGAGCAGTTGCTGTGAAGCAGATACTTGCTCCTGATCCCTTGCACCTGTTCCTCTCCCCTCACTCGCCTCCCAGCACTCCCAGCGCAAACAAACCTTGAGCTTGACCTCCTTCGACGGCCGGTGGAGAAAGTTGAGGGCAAAGTGGAAGAAGAAGGCCCCAAAGGTTTGTCTCAGCCACTTCCCGTGATGCTGGTTGTGGTAGGCTGTGTCCTCTCACTAGCAGCCTTGGAGCCTCCTGCCTCACCTGGCAGGTACCCCAGGAACCTTCCCCGACTCGCCACAGTCTTGCCGGTCAGCGCGCGATCCCATCGCTTCGTCATCGCTTCAGAGGTGGAAGGAGGAGGAAGGGGAAGAAGAGGAGGAGGAGAGAGGAAGAGAGGGTTTGAGAGGAAGAGGGTAAGAGGAGGAGAGGAGGCGTCAAGATTGGAATGTGTCGGTTGTCAGGGAGGAGGAGGAGGAGGAGGAGGAGGAGGAGGAGGAGGAGGAAGACAGGAAGGAGACAGGCTGACCTTGCATGCAACAAGTTCGTTGAATTGAGCGTATAGATGCTCTCGGAACTGCACCAGAAGTTGCGTGAGCCAGCAAGCAGGCGCACAAGTGCAGGAGCATGTGCGAGGAGTGGAGATCAGGGTTTGACCTCCGGGAGGAGGCTCGTCTCAGAGTTGTTCTGGAGGAAGGTCGCAAGCCGCTCCTACCAGGCTCTTGTCAGCCATGCTGATCGACATCGGCTGAGAGACCTTGTCCATGTCCATGTGCGATCTGTTGTACGTCTCAAGATACGGTGCGTACCATGATGGACCGCCGTCTCCGACACTGGAGCGAGATGGCGATGGCAGGAGGTGGCGGCAGTGATGGCGAGAAACAAAGTGAGGATACCAGCACACTCGCCCCGACAAGCGCGGAACCTCCTGTCGAAGAGATCGATAACAAGAGCTCGCCGAGTCTGCATCGCCAGCAGCAGGGCAGTCGCTTCCTCTATCTGAGAGTTCCCCATCCCGAGCAGAGGCTGGAGCAATACAGTATCAGCAACAGACGCGTCTTCCAGCGACAAGGAAGCATGCTCTTCACCTGCAGGACGAGGAACTTCCTCTTGATCTTCTTCTCTCTCGGATCAAGTATCCTCGCGTGTAGCTTCTCGTAGGAGGACAGGGCTGCCCTCGCCCGCTCTGAAATCGCCTCTCCCGGTCCTTCCTCGACCTCTTTTCTCCCGTCCTCTGCTCTGCATGATTCCATGGCTTCGCCGACGCTCGTCCATGCCAACAGGAGCAGGAGCAGGAGCTCGAGGCTGGTGGGCATGCGAGGAGGAGGAGGCAGCGGTCGCCGCATCGTCGCCGCCTACCCGCAACCATCTCCTACTGATCCCGACATGTTGCGCACCGGATCCCAGAAACAACCAAGCCACGCCCTCATCCCCGCTCGTTCCGGGCCCCCCGGCGGCCCGCCAGTCGGACTCATGACGGCGAGTTCCGAGCTCCTCTGACGGATCCGGCGGGTCGCCGATGACGAGCTGGGCTTGAAGTTCCCCAGACGGTCTGTGTTCATCACGTTGGTCACGCGAACAAAGTCTTCACGAGTCGCGCCGTCCGATTGGTGATCGGAGGAGCTGAGCAACCCGGCGTGACGCGGCCCGGCCGAGACTCTGCCGATCACGGACGGTCCTTTGCGGAAGCATCGACGATGAGCCCTCATGATGAGGTAGACGTTCTGCTTCCGATCGTGATGTGCAGTTGGCGCAGCAAGTCACCTGATGATGACTTCATCAAACAGAAGCTGAGCTTCATACACTCTCTGTCAACGTCCAGACAATTGTCATTTTTCGTGCTTTCTTCACGTTCTGGGGATGAGAGTGAACAAAACAATCCAACTCGTTCACTGCAAAGATCGTACTTGACAACCGTTGAACCGTGTACTTACTCAGATGTGACTCGTCGAGCTCGAAACGGAAACCTTCGTTCCGGACCAGGTCTCGTCATATGATCAACTTGATGATCTTGTACCAAGTCAATCCATTTTTACTTGTTTGGTGAACTATGACTTAGAGCGGCGAACTATGACTGAGAGCGGTGTACCGAAAATCCTGTTCAGGGCCTTTTGAGCACTGTTTGACGGCAAGATGTATGGAGGAAGAGAGCGACGTGTCAAGCAGAGCATTCGACCAGCCTCGCGACCGTCTTCAGACACTCGCGTAACTTGTACGAAATTCATGACCAGAGCGTTGGTCCCCAACATGATGCAGTTGATTCCAGAGTTGGTCAATAACACGAGTTTTGCGATTATTGAGAAAAAGCGAGTATCGTCTTTCCGAGGAGGAATCACCTCGTCCACAAGCACCCAACGCGTTTTCCATCCAGCTGCCTCTTCTATAGAAACCGGGGCGATGGTGGTCAACTCATCCCACAGCCAACCGAGGACTCCCAGCACATGCCACCCGCTTGGTCGTCCGGTACTGAAATTGAAATTCAATGCGGTTAGAGGACCTGTTTGCTTCATCGATCCAACCTACTGCTTGGTCAAGATACTAAGATCGCACTCTAATGCCTTGCTCATCAGTTGCGTGATGAGTTGCAAGTTCTTGTAGATGGGTTGCACTTGGTATGTCTGGTCCCCTTCTACAGGGTTGAAGAGAAACAAATGCTGTCACCTTCATTCCGAACAAAGTAATCGGCAGCGCAAAGAGACTTTCCACTCCCAGAGCAACTACGCAGACGTAAGATTCCTCAGCGTCTTGCTCTTTCATGACTAGTTTGTTGATTGGGTTCAAATCACTGAATTGCTTGCTTGCTTGTACCCGTGATGATGTTGCCTTCCATCCTCTATCAAGGCTCTCGTTCAGGCATTTCTTCAATTTCTTCGCCACTTCTATTACGTTATCTTTGGCGGCCATTTCACACAGAACTGCACAAAACGCAGTGAGGGTATACAACTCCGGGCCAGCATCAAGACTCACCTGAAAGGAACTTGCCTGCGCCATCACCTTGGTGTGAGATCAGAGCATACCTTGCAACCTCGAGTTCCTTGTAAGTCGAGGAAGATCTTCCTCTCTTGCATTTCTGAGCAATTCACTCGCAGTTGCCACAGAGAGATTGAGATTCGCCTCCATTAAATTTCTTTCAGCATGCGCCAACTCCTTCTCGCCTTTGTGCTCGGCTAGCTTGAGCTCCTGTCTCCTCAGCCGCACTTGTGCCTCCACTCTCTTCTCGTCGCCTTCAAGCTCACCGTCAGCTCCCTTGAGCACAGTCAGATCGTGCTCTGCCTCTCTCAGCCGGACTAGAGCTCATGCCTTTTCAACATCGCCTGTCTTGGCAAGCAACTTCTCCTTTGCCTGAGCGACTTTCGCAAGTGCCTCGGCAATCATGGTAGTCGGGACTGTTCGAGCCTTGGCCAGAACTTTGTTCCATTTCTCAGAACAAGATGAAAGACAGCAAATAAATATCCTATAAATTTTGCGTAATGGCTTCAGAAGAGGAAGAAACACAGTGCTGTTGGCGATTCTGAGTAGATGAGAGCATTCCTTTCCTCTGTACATCATAGCTAGCCATATGACAATGGATGTATGATGTACAGAATGATCTTGAACTACAATCTCACGATTCAAATATGATCAGTATTTCGCCACTTCGCAAGGATACAGACAACCTCAAACTCCGTTAGTCTACCATCACCTTCATCCTTCATTCCTGCACGTCCATTACCACTCACTTTTTCTGTGGAACATCCATCGGCACTTGCATACGTGATACATCTTGTTAGAAACTCTGTCACGGTAATCATCTCAGTTGTCTTTCTACTGGCTCTCAATGTTGGAATCCGTCTTGTTCTCTGCACCAGGTCGCTACAGACTGCCAGGTCCGTCTTTGCCTCCCTTCTTTCATCGGTAGTTTCAAGCATTCCACGCACTGCTTGAAGATTTCCTTGGTTTCCTCCATGGTTGCGTTCTCCTTATACACTCCTTTCTCCTGTGCACATTGGTCTATTTTGCCCATCAGATACCTGAAGTCACTCAAACGTTTCCTTGCATTCTGGTCGGCAAAATCACTCGGTTCCAGGTTTTTGAAAGGTGGATACCCTTTTTCTGCATTTCCTTGCATCCACCACTCGTATGCGACATCAACGAACATCTTTGGCCATAAAAAATCTTCTGGCAGAAGGCGAATGCGTCGACCCCAGTTGTATCCGTTCACCTGCAATGTTCCACTCTGCTCAACTTGTGCAGGCTGTCTTTGACTGCTTTGACAGTCTGCCCTCCCATTCACCTTTCTCATCAGGACCTCTAACATATCCTCCATATGACGAAATCGAGCTGTCATCATCTCTTCCACTTTCTGAAGCACAGTTGGCATCATCATCATCTCTTCGATATTTCCAACACAGTGACTCTGCTCCATGTTGCCATTGTTCACTGAGTTTGATGCCATCAGAGTAATGTCTGTTTGCGTTTCACGCGTTTGTACCTCCTTCCTGCTAGCTTCAAGCCTTTTCATGCCTCTGAGGATTGTAACATGTGCTGGAATGCCTGTACACCGTCTGCCATCGCCCTCAATTGTCACCATTTTCTTCATTCGTTGAAGAATTCCTTGTTGCGTGAACAGGCAAGTAGCCAACAAAGCATGTTCCTTCGGGAGTGTCTTCATCAAAAATTCAGAATGATACACAACAGAAGCCACAGCGTGCTCTGCGACAAGATACAGTTTGGTTGTAATTCCAGGGAACATCTCCGAGATGTAAGACGATACAAATGCTCTTTCATCTCCATCAGACCAGCGAAAGTAGGGGGGCAACGTGGCAAACTCTGCCTTGTCCAGGGGCAGGCCCGTCGCTGTCCTTCCCACATATTGGTCGCCTAAAGCGTGGTCAAGTCGCTGCCCTTCCATGTCACCTCAGAGACGGGAATCACCTGCAGCCTCCACCCTCATGTCTTGCACAGGTCCCATCTTCCGGCCTATTCTGCGCTAAGGCTCAGGCCAGAATCCTGTGATGGATATTGTAATGCTTGTCACCTGTTACTCAGAGGAACATAGCTTGGACCATCTGGACTTCCACCGGAACAATAAGTAGCGGATCCTTTGCACAACATCAGTCGTTGGATCCGAGGGGATACATAACCATGTACAATACCTTTTCTTACACTGTGTGACCCGATATTCTGTATGTCTATTCCCAGGAATTTGAAGGCATCTTTGAGATTTTCGTTGTTGCGGAACCTGTTGATGATTTTGCTGAAACGGTCGAACTGATTATTGCCCGGGAACAGTTTTCCATGTCCGTTATCGTTCATTCCAAAGCAACACCAGTAAATGCCTGCGTTCAGTGGAAGTAATATCAATTCAGTGGAAGTAATATCAATTCACTTACCAAGGGCCAGCAAGGGGCAGATGTCTGGATTTAAAGGATTGGCGTAAATGTGTTTCACATCCCGTTGTCGTTCTCCTCCCTGATCATTCTTTTGATGAATGATGTAAATTTTGAGCGCATCCTCGAAGAATTCCATATGGTTGTAGAGGATTTTGATTCCATTGCTTGCTCTGCAAATGAGATTCCAGCATATGATCAGCATAGTCCTGAAAAAAATCCATTCTGTGCCTGTTTGCTTGAAACTGAAATTCCCTAACATTTTGTATCCTTCGAATGATAATGAGTCCTTCCCACTGCTCACTTTAACATCTTTCGTCTCCGATGCACCTTTAGCAACTGTTCGTTTCACCCCCTTGAAATCCTTCCTCAACGAATTGCTAAGTTCGGAAGGCACTTCGAATCCGTAGTGACGATAAAGATCAAACAGACCAGATCTGTGTCCTGACAAAGTGCTAAATGCATACGCACCATTCTCAGAGTTTCCAACCGCTTCGCGTTGACATCTCAAATGCTCAAGCCATGCAATGAAAGCTGTGGATGTAAATCTACACTTTGGATCGGTTGATTCCTTATTTTCAAAGTCGATGGGTTTGATTTCACGACGCGTCAGGATATCATGCAGCAGATCTTTATCAGGAACGTAGTGCAAGTTCATGATATTCTGTCTTTCCATGAGCTCCCTGAACTCCTTGGTGAGAACTTCTTTTCTGTTGACATAGAGCCATTGCAAAAAACGTATCATGGAGCTGGTATACGTCTTCCTGCTCTTCTTCGATATCGTATTCCCGCGGATAGCTTCCACTGATGCTTCGAGCGCTGCTTCGTCCTGTACGCGTAAGCTGTCCCACAAAGCAGACTCAGCTTCTGTAGCAGAATGTTTTCTCTTTGGTCGTGCTTTGTTGGGTCTTGCAGCAGCAGTGGGATTTTGAAACATCGAGCTTGGTCCCTCCATCCCATCATCTACCTGTGACGTGCAAGAGGACACTGACATGCCATCTCCTTCACATTCGTCAATTGCTATCGCTGACTGCACATCATCGCTGGGAGGAGGCGGCGACTTACAACCACAAAATCCAGGATCCTCGCTTCGAAAGCTGGCACACACTGCATGAAAGTTGCCACCACATTTCCGGCACTTATGTCCAGTGCCAGTCGCAGGGTTGCATGGAGCTCCTTGCATTCGACATTCGCGTCCAAACCGGCATTCTCCTTCTCTTGGTTCCGCCATTTCGTACTTTTTGTTGTACCGGGATCAAAAGCTTTTACAAATACAATCTTGGTACAAAATAAAAATATACAATAGATTTTATCAAGGAAGTGACTAGCAAAAATCACTCAAAAACTATTTATTGGTACTTAAAATTGAATCTTTAACTTAACTTTGAGTAAAAAAGAACCTATAGTTGACCGGACACCCGTCCAGATCAAATCTCAGAGCAGATACACCATGTAGATCTAGTACCCCCTCATTGGTAGTATTTGGCCCTTGACCGGTACTGCTTTCGATCTCAGAAAAGGGCAGATATACAACACCTTCGACTCGTACGGAATAATATCCTAATCTGACAATAAACTATAGATCTACAATAAAAATCCGGATGGTTGCTGAGATCTCCCGGGCATGTCAAGTTGAGATCCCCGGAGTCCTGCGGTACTCTCACACTCTTTACCTTCGCTCGGTACATCAGAAATCTACGACCCCGATTGTCACTGGGCCTGGCGTGACAGTGGCATGCTGATGTGAAACTCATCATCCCGACTTGACTGCCGGCGAACCCTTTGAAAACATGCTTGTGACAGTGTCACTGTCAGAAGCTAGACATAGCAACCACATCCCTGAAGCATTGAGCACTGGACGTATGTCTGGAGTTTTTGGATTTGCAAGTGCAGATTGTGGGAATCAGGCGCAATGATATCTCAGCAATACCAATAATGATTCCGCAAAACCCATGTGACGATACACGATTTCTGCGATACTATCAGAGAGGCTAATGAGATTCCAAGAGATGATGAGGGGAAAAGCATCGGCAACTACAGTCGTATCGATAGAGACCAAACTGCATTTGCTTCTTTCCTTATTACAATTCTTCCCGTCTGCTCTTCGAGACTGTCTGGAAGTGTACCGTTCAATGATCCTTGTCAGATCTGTAAGTTTACTGTTCAACCAAAATCCGATCTTATCCTCCATTTTCTCATAGCGTTCACTGTGGCCGTATCACTGAAACAAGTATCAAATCGCAGCCCGCAACGGACAGTACAAAATGATTCGCCAGTCAGTTAGTGTGGTTATATAAGCATTCTTAATTCTTCAACCTTCAAAAGGTCTAAGCCCATGGTGGTATGGTTTCTCATCAGCATTCCCACCCTACTCTCCTTCAACTCGTCACATAACAACGAAGCTTTTTGGTGGTGCATCCTTGCGCCAACTCCTTCTCGCCTTCAAGCTCTGCACGCTCAAGCTCCTCTCTTCTCAGCCGCACATGTGCCTCTGCTTCAAGCTCGGCTAGCTTAAGCTCCTCTCTTCTCAGCCGCACATGTGCCTCTGCTTCAAGCTCTGCTAGCTTACGCTCCTCTCTTCTCAGCCGCACATGTGCCCCCGCTGTCTTCTTGTCGTCGCCTTCAAGCTCGACAGCAAGGAGCCTTGCTTGCAAGATTGGGATACGACTCAACGCTTCGCTGTCAGCTCGCTTTAGCAGAGTGAGATCGTGTGTCAGTGCAACTCCCAGCAACATACAAAGGCCCCCTTTTATATGCCGGAAACCAATCTACACCCTGCGCACCACCCCCTTTATTTGAGGGGTCAATCTGGTTGGAATGAGGGGTGAAGGGGTGATTTTTAAAAGGTTTTTTGGCCCTTTATGCATGGGAGATAAGAAAATTGAAGATGAGGCTTTTCGTTATCCAAGACTCATGTCGGCCCCCACCCCTGATACTGCATGGTGGGGGTGTAGAATGATGGGGTGGAGCTTTAAATTGACTAAAGAACGACCTGAAATCCAGGGGTTATCTTACTCATGATAACGGGTGGTGATTCTAATAAGGTGGGTGAGGGTAGTCAAAATGAAGGATCAGTGGGGGTACCGAAGGCTTGAGACTGATAGTAGGCGTACCCTCTATTGTTACCAATTGTCATGACCCCACCTACAAAGTTCCAATACCCTGCATATGAGTAGGGGGTGGGGTAGTGTCCTTGCAGGGAAAGTCACTAACCATAGGTGGGGTATCTACTCGATTAAAGATAGGGTGGGTGGTCAATCGATGGGTGGTTGGGTTTCCTACCGGTCCATACCCCTTCGATGACCCCACCTTTGTATAATCTTACCTGATCACCCCACCCCTAATTTGTCCCGGATCCTGTGGAACAAGGCAGGGGTGGGACCATGGGGGGGGGTTGTTTTTTGGTCCCTGACGAGATGAGTCTGCAGATAAAATGCTGAGCAATGGAATGAGAAAACCAAGGGGAGGGAGGGGGAGGGGGAGCGAGAGGGAGCAGAACAGGGATAGAAGGGAAGAAAGAAAAAAGTTGGAGGACTGGTCCAGAGAGGCGGAATGCCACAATACAGACTCATTTACCATGTTGCAATCAGGCAACGTTTTTTATCACGCAACGTTTTTTATGCATTTTCTTTCTTTCGCTGATCACATTTCATGAATGCACTTTCTCAACCTCTTAGTAAAATGCGATGGTGAAAATATCCAGGTTGTGTGTTCTGAACCCTTGCTTCCATCAGGTTTTGATCGACTGCACTGAGGTAAAAATATGGCGTCCGCTACCAACCTGCTCTACCCTCTCAATGAGGATATCCTGAAAAAAAGTCTCGTGGAGCTCCCTCCGAGCACTAGGCGCACAATAGAGACGAGCTACTCGTGCCTGCTGGTATTCTTCCCTCCTCCTACTACTCCTCTTCTACCTTATACCTCCCCAACGCCTCCTCCGCAACCTCAAATTCCTTGTTCTATACTCCTTGCCCCTTCGCTCCTGACTTTACGACAGTCCCGCAAGTTCACGAGCGAAGAATTCTTGCAGCTCATCTTCTCTGTCTCATCACAGTCTCCTCTCCTCTCAAGGTTTGCCCCTTGCAATGAGGAGGAGGGGATGGAAAGAAAAGAGGTGGATGCTGAGTGAACTCCCTGCAGCGTGTTTCGAGATCGCGCACTCGCAGCCCCCTCTTCAAAGAGAAAGTCGTATGAGAGCTACGGTCACATAGGTGCTCCCTTGTCCTCCTCTTCTCCTTCCTCCCCACCGCCCCCCCCCCTCGCCTCCTCCTCCCTCTCTACATCACTGTTCTTGCCTGCCCACCTGCCCACCCGCTCCTCCTCCACCTCCTCCTTGGCTGACTTCCTCCCTCCCTGTTACAAGTAGGGAGCTGTTATGCGGCTCGAACGACTCCAGCTGCCAAGAGGGCCAAGGGCGGCAAGACTCCTTCCCAGACTCCCTTCATGGTCTGCCACAGCCAGCAGGCGATCACGTTCCAAAGGATGAAGGAGGCAGCGTACCAGCCCTTTGACATGTCCAACACCCTCGTAGCTGGGAGGAAGCTGGAGGCGATCAGGAGGAGGTTCGACCCCTACAGGGGGTCCGAGCCGCAGAGGAGAAGGATGTACCTGCAGGAGATCTTCTCCAAGTTTGTGCAGGCCCTCCCCTCCAAATCCCGCGCATCCTTCCTCCTCCTTCTCCGGCAGTACAACGCCTCCTCCATCCCCCCCGAGGACTTCGTGCTTGGGGTGCAGCAGCTCGTGGACCAGCACAGCATCTGCATCCCCCTCAAGTACAAGCCCGAGTACCTCATCCGCTCCTCCCCTCCTCCTGTCAACCGCGCCTGCAGCCAGGGCAGCATGCGAGGCAGCGCCCAACAGGAGGAGGCGGCAAAGAAGCAGAGCAAAGCGTTCCGAGCTCGGAGGCCCCAGCAGCCGCTCAGCAGGACGATCCTGCCAGCAGTGGCCGAGGATCAGCTCAAGTCTGCGCATGCTCCGTCTGCCTCCTCCTCCTCCTCCTCCTCCTCCTCCTCCTCGGGGCTCTCGAAGTTCCTCACCGACAAGGTCGCCTCATCCTGCTCCTCCGTCGTCATCCGCGTCCTCTACAACTCATCAGCTCAGAGCCAGCAGGACAAGTTTGCGTGCTCCAAGAAGGTATTTCCTCCTCCTCCTCCTCCTCCTCCTCCTCCTCCTCCTCCTCCTCCCCTCCATGTCCTCTTCTTCTTCATCCTCCTTCCCATCTCTTGCACCTCTCCTCCTCTCCCCATCTCCTTTCTTCCCCTCCCCGTGAACGGCACTGACCTCTCCTCAGGCCATCTTCGCGTTCAGACGGGATGCTGTAACTTGAGCCTGACCCGCTCGCTCGAGCTGACATGACGGCAGGAGGGGAGTAGAGAAATCCTCATCTTCGGCCTCTTCTCGCACGAGTATGACGATCTCTGCCCTCGCGATGTTAGCAGAAGGTGACCCTCCTGTTGCTCCTGCTCCTGCTCCTGCTCCTGCTCCTGCTCCTGCTCCTGCTCCTGCTCCTGCTCCTGCTTCTCGTTTTTCTCGTCGCTCCTTGCTTTTTGCTTCTCCTCGATCCTCCATCTCGCCTGCTTATCTGCCTCTACACTTGTTTTCCTCTCCGTCTTCTTCTCATCTTCTTTGCAGGACCTACATCGACTGCGTAGATTCCATCCCTCTGCTCGAAAACGAGACCATCGAAGAGCGTCAGGTTGATCAGACTCCTGCTCCTCCTGCTCCTCCTGCTCCTCCCCGCCCCTCCCTCCTTTCTTCTGCGCCTCCCTCTCTTCTAGTCCTCAATTTGTCTTCCTCCTCGCACATGTTTGTCATGCTTATTGTCTACATCTTGCTCAAACTCCCTCGCAGTCGGTTCTCTCAGCCATCCTATATGGATACATCGAGTATCTGAGCAAACGGTGAGAATCCTCCCCCCCCCCCTCCTCCTCTTGCTCCTCCTCTTGCTCCTCCTCTTGCTCCTCCTCTTGCTCCTCCTCCTCCTCTTGCTCCTCCTCTTGCTCCTCCTCCTCCTGCCTGTTCACTTATCGTCACTTGTTTTGTCTACTCAGAGGATTCCGTCAACTGCTTCTGCGTGTGCCTCCGCCCGAGGAATCAAGTGAGCAAGAGAAGAGCGTGAGGAAGGTCTTGGAATGAGGGCAGAGGGAAGAGGAAGAGGAAGAGCAGGAGCAGGAGCAGGAGCAGGAGCACGAACAGGAGCAGGAGCAGGAGCAGGAGCAGGAGCAGGAGCAGGAGCAGGAGCAGGAGGGAGTAAGGAGAGGGTAGGACGGTAGGAGAATGTTTACAATCTAACGGCAATCAGGTCATATCTTCAATCCAAGGACGCCTTCAATCCGAACAGAAGGTGAAAATTCTCTTAAACTTCTCCTCCCTCCTCGCTCTCTTCCTCCTGCTCCTCCTGCTCCTCCCCTCCACCATCTTTCTCCCTCCTCTCCTTTTTCAGTCCTCCTGTCGTGTCCTCTAACTTTGACTGCAGCCACCATTCGGATGAGCTGTTGGTACAAGAGGCTTCTGGAAGGAGCAAAGGTGAGGAGAGGAGGGAGGGGAGGAGGAGAAGAGAGGAGGAGGAGAAGAGAGGAGGAGAAGAAGAGAGGAGGAGAAGAGAGGAGGAGGAGGAGGAGGTGGAGGTGGAGGAGAACCCTAATTGTTAACAGTCGCATCGTCTTCTTCACAACTACAGCTACTCATCTCACGTCTTCTCTTTGAAAAACTTCCCTAGTATGGATCCTGACTCCTCCTCCTCGACCTCGACCTCCTCCTCCTCCTCCTCGACCTCGACCTCCTCCTCTTTCTCCTCCTCTTTCTCCTCCTGTTTCTTCTCCTGTATCTCCTCCTGTATCTCCTCCTGTATCTCCTCCTCTTTCTCCTCCTCTTTCTCCTGCTCCTCACACTGTTGCTCAGTTCACGTCCTTCCTGCTGAAGTCGCTCATATCGAATGTCAACATCCCACAAGCATGCAGGACCAACCTGTGAGACACTTGTCCGCCACTGCTGCCTGATCCTCTTCATCCTCCCCCCCTCATCCCTCCTCTCCGCTCTCCGCTCTCCGCTCTCCGCTCCCTCCTCCCTCCTCCCTCCTGATCTTCTTCGTGTTTGTTCTCTTTGTCATTTTATTCTTGTTCTCACTCTCATCGAGCAGGCACATCCAAGATTCTTCGCAGCGGACTTGTTCTCCGCGGGGTCAGTAGCCAAGAGGAGGGAGGGAGGGAGAGGCAGAGGAGCAGGAAGAGGACAAGAAGGCGAGCCGAGCAGAGGGGAACAGACAGAAGAGGGAGAGAACAGGGGGGGGGGGAAGCAAGAGGAGGAGCAGGAGCATGAGGGTTTGACGGTTATGGCAGGAACTTTGCTGGAGATGTGGACCCTCTGCTATACAATCAAGTCTTTAGCGACAGAAAGAGCTTCACGAGCTTTTGCGATCAGCAGGTTGAAATGCTCCTCCTCCTCCTCCTCCTCCTCCTCCTCCTCCTGCCCTCCTTCCCTCCCCTTCTCCTCCTCTCTCTCTCTCTTCTCACTTTGACTCCCGAGCAGAACCTCAGCTTTACCACCACTGCGCTGGCGCAGTCGAGCACAGAGTTTCTCATGAGCTCTCTCCAGGCCTTCAAGGGGATGGGAGAGATTCAGAGCAGCGTCAGCGTCTTGCGTCCTCCTCCCCTCGAGGCTCCGACGGTCGTCAAGGAGGAGGCGACCGATAGGCCGCGAATGGACCTGCCGCAAGTGTATGTCGGGGAGGCGTTATTCATGCCGAGGGAGAGGACGGGAGAAGAGCGGAAGGAGGAGGAGGAGGAGTCGATGAGATATTGCGCGGCGAGCATGAGCTTGTTTCAAGATCACGGGACATTCCTCGAGGACGAAGGTGAACTTTCTACTTCCTCTTTCCGCCGTTCGTGGTCCTCCTGCTCTTCTCTTGCCTCCTACTTCCATCCTCCGTCTCACTTCGATTCCTTCTTCCTCCTCCTCTTCCCCTCCTTCTTCCTCCTCTCCTTCTCCTTCTCCTTCTGTCCTCTCATACTTGCTTCAGAGGGGGACTTGTTCGCCGACAGCTTCTTTCTCAAATTCTGAGGCTGTTGATCCGGATAGAAGGAGGGGGAGGGGGGAGAACGAAGAGGGGAGGAAGAGGTAGAAGAAAACGGGGCGTGCTGTAATAATAAACCACCGAAGAGGAGGACGCGAAGGGCCGTTGGGATCAATGGACGTCGTTGAAGAGGGGAGGAGCCCAGCGTTTGCCGTGGTACACGTTCTCCCCCACCACCCAACCTGCATTCGGGTCAAGACGAGGAGGGGGAGAGGGAAGGAACAAGGATAGAGAGGCAGTGTGAAGGTAACATGTTGAGGCAGGGAGCATGGCGGTAGGGAAGATACAGTGCAGGATGTAAGCAGAGGTGAACTAGGGGGGAGAAGGGAAGAACTGAGCTGGGAGGAGGAGGGAAGAAGCAGGGGCGAAGACACGAGAGGAGGAGGGAAGAGGCAGGAACAGCATTGGCTCACCTGGGACGTCCTTCATCACCTCAGCCTCCCATTTCAATTTTTGATCCTGATGACACAAGCAAGTCACACGCAACAAACGAAAAGTGCCAGCTGACCTCTCTCATCACATAATCAATATCTTCTTCCGCCTGTGATGCGCAGGAAATCTCAATTGGTGGTGAAGAGACAGAGAATGGGCACAAGGAAGGAGACGAGGAGGAGGAGCAGCAGGGAGAGCAAATGCCAGGGGGAAGGGGGAGAGGAAGACCTGAAGGAAAGGCGACAGTGCTGCTCTCATATCTAACTTCTCCCTCTTGAGTGCCCTGCAACAAGAAGTCAAGAAGCTTCTCCCTCCCTCTCTGCTGCTTCCTCACCTTCTCTGCTTGTTGCCTTGACCCAGGCGGTTCATTCCCCACATCATCCCTACTGCTACAGTGCCGAAGATGAAAATGGAGGGGATTGCGAGATCCTTTCCGACGTTTCGCCTGGCAACGAATAGTGCCAGGCCATGTTCAGCAAAAGTACCGGAAGGAAGGCGAGGGAGGGAGGCGAGGCAAGAGAGGGAGGGGGGGAGGGAGGGGGGGAGGGAGGGAGACTCACTTGGTGTTGATGGGAGGGAAGCCGCCTGCAGGAGGCATGTCTTGCTTGGGTGCAGGAACCTCATAGGGCTTGACGCCGCTTCCCATGGGGCCCTGGTTGCGGTTGTCTTGCTTGGGAATGGACTTGATCTCATCTGAAAATGATCGCCGGGGAGCTTTGCGAAAGATCTGCATGGAGAAAGAAGGGTAAACAAGACCAGAAGGCCAATGTAAAACTTTGACAGCCCCGGCTGCTTTCAATATCACCACATTCACGGCAAGAGCAGGAGGAGAGCGCGAGCAAGGAGCTGAGAGGGACAGCAAACAAGAATCAACTTGCCCTCAATCACACACGAATCAGCAACAGGAAGGCACACTACAGGGGCCCTGAGCTCAAGTCTGGCTGAGATGCAGGACAGAAAATTTTCCACCTCCACCCATACCCAGGCGATATTTCAAAGATCATCAATCGATCATATCTTAAACTCGCGTCATTTCAGTTTGATTATCATAAGACACGTTGACGCAAAGCGAGCGAACAAAGTGAGGAGGAAATGTTCAGCTCGCCATATTTGTGCATGACCATAAAGAGTCCACTCTATTGACAAACAACATGTCTGCAAGTTCATGACAAGGTTGATCGTCTACGAGGGAAAAACACCATGAAACATGGGCATTATCATCGTGGAAACAACAAAACTCGGTCTTCTTAGCGGCCGCCCCCATCCCACGCCACCCGTTCCCTTCTGCCTTCCACCCCTTTGCTTCCAACAACACCATCGTTCTACCATGTCAGAGAGCACAGCATCGCCGTCATCGATGGCTCAGGGACCAGCAACAACGTCTTCCCAGCATAACTCTCCCGCTTCCTCCTCTCTCCTCCCTCACCTGCATCGAGCGAGTGAGAAGTCGCCCGAGCGCGGACATTGCGGCGGCTCTGCAGTTTTAAAATAAGCTAAAATGTTCTTATGTTGAGCTCAAGGTTTTACATTGTTTTAGGTTATACCGATTCTATTAAATAAAAATTGTTTTCGTGATTTTAAAAACTATATGTTGCTATGATCAGAGGGTTGTATGGTTGTACATTGATGTATTATATTATTATTAAAATCTCTATATCTTTTTTAAAAATAACACGACGCGGCCCGGGGAAGGAGCCTAGTTTACTGGCCTCTAGCCCGGACGAAAGGCCCCGGGAGATGTAACGGAAACTATTTTTGTAACGATCAATATTGGCTAATTTAAGTGGTACATCGCAAAAACTGGTAGGGTGGTGAAGGACCGGTACTGTCAAGGTAAGGTACCCCTATCACGATTTACTCGCCGGGTCCAAGTAGGTAAGCCTAGCATGCAATGAGGGGGTACTTGAGGGTCCAATCGAGCCCGTACCTGGAAGAAACCTCAGAAGGTTATGAAATATAGAGGGGTAGGGTAGTATACCACCGGTGGCCTTAACCACCCCTCCCATTAACCTCTTTGCAAAAGACATTTGAGGAAGTGTCTTACTGTCGGGGTGGGTCTCAGATCATGGAGGGTTATACCTACCACCGGTTATTTTCTGCTATCTTTCCCTATAGTGAAAATTCTGTCGAAATTGGGGGTACAAAAAAAGCCAACTACATTATGAGGGTAGGTACTTGGGAAATTGGTGGGTAGGGGTAGTGATCTATTTTCGGAGGAAGGGTCTATCTCGGGGGCCTCGCGCCTCTGCCGCTCAACCGCTGCCGGTACCACGCAATGCACCAATGTGTTGATATGATGGCTGCTCGCGCTATGACTGCCTCCTGAAAGTTTTTCCTCTCTCATGTGATAGCTTGATTGATATACTTCTTGTTCGTGCGCCTGCAAGTGTCCTTGCTTGCAAGATTCTAGATGAGTGTTGGGTTGTGGACCATGCAATGTGTCATGGATTCTTGTTGCTGTCCATTCCTTGATTGTGAATTTTGTCTCCTCGTTCATATGTTTGAATGCTGTTCTGTGTGTGTACTTGTAAATCAACTTGTTGATCATTTTGGCAGATAGCAATGTTCCAGACCATCACCAAGGCCCAAACCACCGAGCTCTGGATGTGGAAGATGGAGTACCTCCACCACGAGCAGCGCCCCCTCTACTTCGGCGAGTGGTTCTAAGCGAGCTAAATATGTAGCGTATCTTACCATGAGGTCTGATAAGTGAAGTATTTAGTGTTACTACAAGTCATAAATTTGCGTAACATACTCGAAAGACTGAGTCTTGTGCTTGTCTTAGTACATGGACATGCCTGTTACCAGATGGACTCGATCAATGCTGGGTTGTCTACTTTTCATGCTTCATAATCAATTGCAAAGTTCTCATGTTGTACCCTAGCATCTTTGAGAGATGGAGCTGAATCCGCCCTGTCTCTGGGAACAACGAAATGATTTCGATATACGGTGCAAAGCAACTTGGCAATCCCGTCGTGAACGATGAAAATAGTGACAACATGATGATGACTCTTGAACCATCTTGGTACCTCCAGCCTCATGGCCACCAGCTCAAAGACTGTCTTCCGACTTCAATCATCGGATTCAATCAGTCCGGATGATTCCGCATGGCGCTTTCAGACCATATGATCAGCCTACCCAACTCAGTTGAAGGATGCGGCAGAAGTGCGGCAGACACTGATGGCATTCATCATGCCATCACCGGGAAGCTCCGAGCCTGTGCCGCGCGCGGCCCATGATGAACTTGACCGGCGACCCGGCGTGACTCAGGCGCGCGGCTGAGCCTCACTGCCGTCGGAGCCTCGAACGGGCCGAATTTGGCACGGCCATGGCCCGGCGACTCGGTCACAGACTGTGACTCAGTGACGCGGCTCAGCGGCTGGCAGCCTGAGCTCGCCGGAGCCCGGCCGCCGCTTGACACCGTGGCACTGTCCGAACAGCCTGGTGTAGCCCGGCCCGGCCCGGTACAGGCTGATGGTCACCGTGACTCAGGGCTGATGGTCACCGTGACTCAGGGCCTGTGCCCGGCCAGTCTTTCAAGGGCCTGAGTCTCAGTCTGAGTCTCGCCGTCAAGTTGGCCTGTCACGTTGAGAAAGCGTCCGAGGGCACGTGCGGGGATGTGGCAGAAGGTTAGGACCCACGAGAGCGGCCGGAAAATTCACATAAGGGGAGAGGAGGAACGCGAGGAGGAGGAAGAGTAAGGTAGGAACGAGGCAGCAGCGAGCTACAAGAGCCTTCATCTAAGTCAGAGGGACGCTACAGAGAGCCTGCTAGAGCGGGAGCGCGCCAGCCGTTTGGAGAGGCGGGCAAGGGCTTCAAACATGCGGCTTGCCCCTGCCATCGTGGGCTTCATGCTGAGCACTGCTTCCAAGGCCAAGGCTGATGGCGATGTTACTTTCATGCTCTCATGGCTGCACAGGAAGTGGCCTGCCTGGGCTGTAGAACCGTTCCTGGCTTGCTTGGCTTTGTGGGCTGTGGTCTTCTTTGTTGAGAGCAGGATTGAGAAGAAACAAGACCCGAAAGCGAAGAAAGAAAAAAGGAGCAAAGCATCATCGAAAGACTTCAAAGCCTTCCAGCGCCAATGGCTGGTCGTCTATTTGTTGACGATGCTGGCAGATTGGCTGCAGGGCACGCACATGTACACTCTGTACACAGAGTACAATCAACCTGTGGGGACACTTTACGCGATTGGCTTCACCTCCTCGGCCGTCTTCGGCACGTTCCTGGGACTCTACGTGGACAAGTACGGGAGGAGGCTGGGCTGCATTGCCTTTTGCGTGCTGGAGCTCGTCATCAACGTGCTGGAGCACTTCAATGACACCACCCTGCTCATCGTCGGGAGGGTCCTGGGAGGCATGTCAACGTCCCTGCTGTTCAGTGCCTTCGAGAGCTGGATGGTGAGCGAGCACAGAAAGCGCGGGTTCCCTGAGGACGACATCGCGCAGACGTTCGCCATTGCTCAGGTCGGGAACGGCATCATGGCGGTCCTGGCAGGAGTGCTCGCTCAAGTGTCGGCGGATAACTTCGGGAACATCGGGCCCTTCCAGCTCGCCATCTTCCTCACAGCCCTCGTGCTCGTCTTCGTCTGCTTTTGGCCGGAGAACTATGGGGGTCGCGAGAGGACGGGAGACGGCAAGGACGACGACCAGCACATGTTCAAGGACGCCTGGATGTGCATCGTCAACGACAAGAGGATCCTGCTGCTGGGGCTGATCCAGTCCTTCTTCGAGGGAGCCATGTACACCTTCGTCATCATGTGGGTGCCCACCCTGGCCGGGATGGTGCCTGGGGGCGAGAAGGGAAAGATGGACTTCGCAGCGTTCTCGCAGGGACAGGGCTGGATCTTCTCGTCCATGATGGTGTGCATCTCGCTGGGGGGGCAGACGTTCGAGGGGATGATCAAGGTCATGAGCGTGGAGAGAGGATGCGTCTTCATCTTCGCTCTCGCCTCCTTGTCTATGCTCGTCCCCATCTTCGTCAAGGATTTCTTCGTGGTGAGAGCCGCCCTACTCTATCCCTTCCCCCCTTCTCGGGCCCCCTGATGAGCCCCTCTGACCAGGTCTTGACCTCCTTCCTCCTCCTTGAGGCCTGCGTCGGTGCCTCGTTCGGCGCGCTTGCAACGATGAGATCGCACTTCTTGCCAGACTCCCTGCAGGCACACCACCTCTCTCCCCAGCGGCAGCTGTTCTGACAGCTCGCAGGCCTCTGTCATGAACATCTTCCGCATCCCCTTGAATATCTTGGTTGTCACCGGAGCGCGATGCGGCGATCTGCTGCCTCCATGGATGGTGAGGGCTCCTCCTCCTCCTCCTCCTCCTCCTCCTCCTCCTCCTCCTCCTCCTCCATTCAGGCTCACATTGTCTTGAAGGTATTCGGAGTAGCTGCGGGCTGGTTTGCGGTGGCCACGTTGCTCCAAGTGAGTCGCTTGCCTAAATCATCCCTCCTCCCTCCTCCCTCCTCCCTCCTCCCTCCTTCCTTCTTCCACTCATTGTGACTTGTTTTACTTTGCCCGTTTCATCAGGTATACTTGTATACGTCTGCTTCTACCAAGGGCAAGAGCGGGTTAGTGACACTCAATGCTTCGTTCCTACCTGCGCCTACAACAAGTGTTGTCCCCTCCCTCATCTAGTGTCGGCCTTGAGTCGAGTCTGACATGGCGTGCAGGAAAAACAAGAACGAGTGAGTTTGCTAGAGCGAGCGAGCTCAGCGCTCAAAGGGCTTGACGATCAGATGCAAGAGACCCTTAAGGACTAGATGAGTGGGAAAGTCAAGGGAGAAGGAGGAGGGAGAAGAGCTGGAGGAGGAGGAGGAGCGGGGGGGGAAGGAAGGGGGGGGGGTGGGGGGAGGAGTTGGTTGCGGTGTCGGTGGAGGAAATAAATTGCAACTCGAAAGGATCGTAACATGGTTTGTGGGGTAGGTAGGGTACTTATGGGTGGGGTACATTTTAATGCTTTTGGTCGGGTCACAAGAGGTGCATGATGGGGTAGACATGAAAAGGAGGGGGTAGGGTGTAAACGAAGTATTCTGGTCGTATCGAAATGCAGGTTTGCGCCCAGGGAGAGGGAGAGATGGAGAGGAAAGGAGGGGGGAAGAGAATGTAGATCAGGACAGCAGCATTGCTATGATGTTGACAAGAGAGAGGAGAAAGTAGACGAGGACGAGAAGCTGTGCGTGTGTGTGTGTGTGTGTGTGTGTGTGTGTGTGTGTGTGTGTGTGTGTTTGAGCATCTTATTTGCTACAGTGAGCAAGAGATTACACTCTTGCTCGCTCCTACCAGGGATGCAACATGCAGCACGGGGAGAGAAGGTCAACAGCCATGATGGCGGTGGACTGTCTTGCTGTGCGAGATGAGAGGAGGAGGAGGGTATAGAGGTTTACGTGTGTAATAGCGCACATTGAGCGAGGGAGGGGGGAAGAGAATGTAGATCAGGACAGCAGCATTGCTATGATGTCGACAAGAGCAAGAAACGAGGAGCTGTATGTGTATGTGTGTGTGTGTGTTTGAGCATCTTATTTGCTACAGTGAGCAAGAGATTTCACTCTTGCTCGCTCCTACCAGGGATGCAACATGTAGCACGAGGAGAGAAGGTCAACAGCCATGATGGCGGTGGACTGTCTTGCTGTGCGAGATGAGAGGAGGAGGAGGGAAAGGAAGGGCACGAGATTGAGGAAGAGATAATAGCGTGAGGGTGAGAAATGAAATTTGGGAGGACAAGAAAAGATGAGCGATTGGGCTGAGTTAGAAAAAGGTGAAGTGGAAGGGGAGGTGGAGGAACCCAGAGAAAGGATATCGGAGTAGCGAGGAAGGGTGGGGATGCGATGACTAGGATGACAACCATGCAGGTGATGAGATTTGGGAGGGCGAGATGACTTGTTGAGCTCAACTGCTGGCACGAGCTGATACCTAGGGCTCTTTCACGCGCTATGAAACTCCAGCGCCTTGGTTGGAGCTGCTCGAGGGCGCTTCCTTGCGATAACGCCCCGTACCCGCACGTCTGTGGATGGCAGCGGAACCAGCCGAGGAAGAGGGATGGTAGGAGGGCCTTCTCGGACAGGTAGCGAGCACTATGGCCGTTGTTGTGCTGAGAGTGTCGATAGGATCCGGTTGAATTTCTACGACCAAACGATCCAGAAGTATGCTGAGCTTCCCATTCACCGGTGACCTTGCTGCTGTCGTGCTGAGGCTGCGGAGATGAGGCCTCGTGTCCCTCTCTTAGGTTGACCATACACGAGCTCATGTCGTCCGGGCACAAAGTGAATAACGAGAGGCTGATCGCTATCGCCCAGCACGTTCAGAGGTTCCTATTACCACTTCGAATGTCTTGTGATCCTGGACACTAGGGAGCTCTGTATCAGGTTGGCAAGAAGGTTGTTGGACATACAAACCCTGCCATACATTGTTGTTGAGAATCCGCACATTCAGGCAAGCAGGAGCCACTGGGCAACCTGTATGATTGACCCTTGTTGGCTTGCTGGTTCAGAGTGTCCATGCGATATACCACCGCGCGTTTGCAAAGCTTGTGGATTTCCCAAAAGTCGTGAATATTAACCAGGTACTGAGGGAGCACGAAATGGGTTGCGCGTGATTTGACCATGTCAGGATGAGCAATTCGTGCTGCTGTTGAAGGAGTTGGTTCAAGAGGGCGTGCAGGTTGTTCCGCTTCTAGCAAGGTGACGGCGTCAGCTTTTGATGTTGAATTGATGCATAGCTGAACTCATGACGTTGTGCAGAGGAATCTACGAGGCGAGCTTGCGAGTGAGCACAGAGCGACTGAATTGCAACAAATTCCTTGCAGACATGATCATGGTTGCTCCCGCTCTCGCTCCATGTGAGCACGAGTTGACTATCCTGGGTGTCAGAGCCGGATAAGTCGCCGAGTGATCGCGGAACAGTTCATCGCCCTACACCACCATCAGCCTGGTGAGCATCCAACCCTTCCCCCTTCGAGTCACGTGAGGACCACACGTGACAGGCTACGTCGGGGTGATCTGCAAGGAGCTCTCTCCCCTCAAGGTCCTCGAGCACGTTGCTCCAGAGGCACAGAACATCTGCCAGAGGTCTCGTGCGCAGCATCGAGACCCCCGGGGCTCAAGATCGCTTGCAGGACCTACGGCATCTCTCCGAAGTACGTTGTCGAGGGAGACACTTCCATCCTCTGCAGGTGCGACCGACCCGCTCCCTGGCCATGGCTGAAGTCCCGCCAGCTACATCCCGACGCACCTCGAGTACATCATCTTTGAGCTCCTCAAGAACGCGATGCGAGCCGTCTGCGAGCGCCACCTGATGAACAAGGACGGGCTGCCGCCCATCAAGGTGACATGCTTTCCTGCGCTCGCCGTGTGAGCCGGAGGCAGTTCTTGCTCGCGCGAGGGCCGTCGGACATGACGATCAGGATCTCGGATGAGGGGGGAGGAGTGCCGCGCGAGTTCGTCAACAAGATCTTCGACTTCGGGTTCAGGTGGGCGTCGCGTGACCTCTCGGTAGCAAGTTGCTCAGCCGCGCCCGCAGCACTTGCAACCAGGAGAATCGGCTCGACGACGAGTTCGACACGGCAGGGCTGGGAATGGTGGAGTTGCCGATGCCTGTTGAGAGGAGGGCTGATAGTGGTTGGCCTGGCTCAGGTGGATCGAGCTGTGCTCGAGACTTCGCCCATGGCAGGGCTGGGCTTCGGCCTTCCTGTTTCTCGCCTCTATGCTCAGGTGCAGAGTTGGAGGCACCTGAGAGTCGCTGACGGTGTACAGTACTTCGGAGGAGACGTGAAACTCTATTCAGTCGAGGTGAGGTGGAGGACAGGAGACGGGAGGCTTGTCTGCCGGGCTATCCCGTCATGCTGGTGCAGGGTCATGGATGCGACACCTATGTCCGGCTGGATCACATAGGTTTCTACTCCTTCTCTTCACCCTCTTAACCCGTCCTGCTCCTGCTCCTGCTCCTCCTACTCACGACTATCTTCACCTTCCTGCTCTTTTCCTCATCCTCCTCCTTCTCCCCTAGTATCGGTCCGCACACCGACAGCCGCTGCGGCAGGAGACGTGGAGGAGTTCGAGGAGTATGATGGGTTCGACATCTGGCGATCGTTGAAGAAGCCATACCTCGACAAGGACAAGACAACGTTCGGCACGAAGGCCAGCAGTGCGAGCAGGCGGGAGGAGCAACAGGGTGAGATGAGGAGCGGTAGTGACTCAGTGGACTAGCGGGTTGACTGCGGTTGACTCAGGGTCTCCTGGGTAGGCGGAGGAGGCGGTGCCGGCACGTGTGGGTGAATCTTTTACTGAGTAAACTTAAAGCTGCGAAGTCCTCAGTGCGACCGTGACTAGCCCGGCCGGCCTCGCCCGGTGATCCCCGGGCCCGGTGCTGACGGAGGCTGCCGCAGGCCGCGCGTGCTTGCGGCTCTACCCCGCGGGGGCTCAGCATGGTCTGCCGCTGCTTGACCGGCCGGCAAGCCTGACCCGCGGGTAGGATACGGTGACCGTACGCAGAACGGTTCGGTCTGGAGCTGTCGCCTGTCACGATACTAAGTCATTCGGTCGATGCGATGCTGGCCTATGCGTCCGGGGTGAGGTGCGGATTCATGGACGTCCTGCAGACCTGGACCAGAAGCACTGCAAGCTGCCGGATGTGACGACAAACACGATCTACCGATGCGCCTGCGGGGACTACGCCCACCAGATCAGCACGGCGCAGAGGAACGAGGGCATCAAGCAGCAGGCCTTCTGGTGTGTCGGGTCGCTGCAGATCCTGGACGGCAGTGGGGAGCCCAGGTTCATCTTCAACCCTTACACGTTCGAAGAGCTGGCCTTGCCAAGGGGTCTGATCAGGGAAGACAGTACTATCAGATTTGTTCTGCTCAGGGAGGCCATATGAGGAAGACACGGGACAGCCTCGAGAACAGAAGGTTATAGGGAGCTCCGAAGGGATCTGTCAAGACCAAGGGAGCAGCTTGATCGCCTTGACAGAGAGCGTTGGAAGGAGATCGATGGCCTTCTCATGCCCAGCCTATGACCGTTTCTCAGGAAACCTTCAGGCTAGGGCCCGGGACTAGGACCTGGACGGGTCGAGGAACCATATCAAGGATACTCGTTGACTCTACTATCATCTCCTTGACTCTACTATCATATCCTTGCCTCTACTATCATCTCCTTGACTCTACTATCATCTCCTTGACTCTACTATCATCTCCTTGTGTACTCTACTATCATCTCCTTGACTCTACTATCCTCTCCTTGACTCTACTATCATCTCCTTGACTCTACTATCATCTCCTTGACTCTACTATCATCTCCTTGACTCTACTATCATCTCCTTGACTCTCTATTTCCTGATACTATTCCTGCGCAGCCATCGCTATCACCATCGCCATCAAGAGAGTCTGTGACTGGAGATTTTCACCCCTACCCCTCTTTTTGAGGTCATAATGACCCCTCCTTTCAGATCCGCTTCAATCGATGCACCTCCCCGCATCAATTGATGAACCGCGGACCCACCCACCCCCAGATAGCAAAAACATGGAAGTACCCCTATAAAACCAGGTATTTATCAGAGTAATGAAGGGGTACCTTTTCACCCCCACCACCCCTTTTCGAACTTTGCCTCTTTCACCCCACTCCCTTTCACGAATGACAGACGTACCCCCACCCTCCTCATCCTATCTTTTAGTTTCATCACCCCCCCTTACAACTGAATTTCAAGGGGATAGGGGCATTGAGCGTATTGGGTAGGGTAGAGGGGGTATTAAATTGCAGGGGTGGGGTGGTGCATACTGTCCCATGATCTTGTGCCAAGACTGAGAGAGGGAGTGAGGGAGGGAGGGAGGGAGGGAGGGAGGAAGGGAGGGAGGGAGGGAGGGAGGGAGGGAGGACGTCAGGTAGGAAGACAAGCAGGAAGGCAGGTAGAAAGACAAAGGCACCAAGGCAAGGGTTGGGATGAGGTGTAATGGGCGCAGAATCAGGTATGAGGAAGTGTCGAAGAAGTGGATCGTAGGGAAGTTGTGGAATAGTATTCAACAAGAAATTCAAAGAAAACAGCTGAATGCCATGATATGAAAAGAAGTGATGGGTTCCTAGAGACTGATGGACGTGAGAGTTCTGGGAGAAGGGTTGACAAGAACAACATAGGAGAGAATGATGCTCCAGGCGAAGGACAAAAGCAGTTGTGAGTAGAAGACGTACAGAGTAATGGGTTGAGACTAAGGAGGAAGTAGGGTCAAGGGATATGGCGCACAGTTCGATTACCAGAGGAGGAAGTGGGAGGTACTCAAGGGTGAACTTTTGTATGCACTTCTCATCTGCTGGTCTCATAATATGCTGCTTTACAAACCACTCTCACATGCTTCATGATTCCGTTACCCCGCTCTGATCTTGAAATGCTTGTGATGTTCGCTTTTTCATCAGAAGTTCTCCTCTTGTCAAGCTTGTCAGTCACCGGAGGCATCTTGAGCATGTTCCGGCTCCACAGCAAGCGCCTCCTCCCCAGTGTTGGATTGTTTGCTTTGATCACCAGTGCTCATGCAGTATCATCCTCCTTTGCGCCTTCCTTGCAATCGCGCCGACTCTCTTGTCTCATGCATGCGAAGCGCCTTTCAGCACTAGTTGCTTCCCCTCAGCGACATTGCCCCACCACTGTTTCTGCGTTGCACCTACGTGAGTACATGTCTGATCACTGATGTGTTTGTGTTCATGGATCGACTTGCCAGGCGGAGGAGCTGCTGACATGTCTGCCGCCAAGCGCATTGTTGTTGACATCGTGTCTGACACCATTTGACCATGGTGAGGCCCGTCTAGCCTCGTCGCCCCTTACCCCCCCCTCCAGGTGTTTCGTGGGAAAGCGTCACCTGGAGCAGGCGATGAAGAAATTCCCACAAGTTCAGTTCGAAGTGAACTGGCGGTGAGCAGCTCAATGCTTCCCTGTCCCTCCCTGACCTGTTCGCCACCAGACCCTTCCAGCTTCAACCTGAGGCTCCAAAGGAGGGTCGGAACAAGCTTGAGATGTACCACGAGAAGTTCGGGGCCGACAGAGTTCGCATGATGGTCACTCGTGCGACTTGACGAGGAGGAGACTGACCGGATGGCAGATGCCCCGGCTCACCCAGGCTTTCGACAAGTGAGCCAACCTTGTCCGCCCTCGTCCTGTGACCTCACGGGTTGCGATGCAGCGTCGGCGTGAAGTTCAGCATGGGTGGGATGACGGGAAACACCTTCGACTGTGAGAAGAGGAGGAGGGAGGCAGGGGAGGGGGGGGGGCGAGCTGACGCGCTTCTCTTAGCTCACCGGCTGATCTATTGGGCGGGGACCAAGGGGAAGCAGGACGAGCTGATGGAAGAGCTCTTCATGTGGGTGGAGGGAGGTGACTGGGGAGGAGCTGACATGAAGCGTTAGGAACTACTTCTCGCAGGAGAAGTACATTGGAGACCCTCAGGTCCTGGAGCAGGTCCTTCCTTCCTTCCCTCCCCACCCTTTTCCTCAGCATGTGACAAGCTGTGGCAGGCGGCGGAGAAAGTCGGTCTCGATCGACAGGTAGAGGAGGAAACTTAGGGGACGGAGAGGAAGAGGGAAGGACAGCGGGGCTAACAGGAGCACCAGGAGGCAGCGGGCGTTATCTCCAACCCGCAGGCCTTCGCCAAGGAGGTGCTGCTGATGCCTCAATCTCTTCACTGTGATTTCCTCCAACACGACTCCTGTCGCTACTTCCCTCTCCCCCTCCCCTCTCTCCCTCCCCCTCTTCTGCTCTTATTCTCACAGTGATCAGGTTGAGGCCGAGAAGAAGAAGTTCGGCCGCAGCGTCTCTGGTGTTCCCTTCTTCATCATCAATGGAGAGGTGCGAACGAGCTCAACCCTCTCCTCCTCCTTACAGACATGCAGGAGGGACTCTCAGGCGCCCAGCCTCCGGAGGTCTTCGAGCAGGTGTTCCGCGAGGTTCTAGACTAGTTTCCTCCTCCTCCTCCTCCTCCTCCTCCTCCTCCCCCTTGTCTAAATGGCGCGATGGCTGCGGGAGGCCATGACGGCGACAAGCGCAAAAGTCCTTGGACTGGCTGTCGCCCGAGACCCTCTAGGGGTTGGCCCGTTGCCCGGAGGCCTGTGGACGTGGGGAGAGAAACGGAGAAGTTGCAGTGAAGTGAAGCGTGAGAGTCTCTTCTTGAAGTCCCGCCAGCTACAACACGCTCATGCCTGCAGCACCGCAGGAGTGAGGCAGGGGAGGAGAGGAGGAGCTGGATGAGAGTGGGGAGGGTGGGGGGGGGTCAGGAAAGTTCGACTCACGTAGGTGTGATCGTGCATGAGACGAGTGCTTGAGCTCTCTGCCTTCACCTCGATATCAGCTGGAGACTGCGAAAGATCTCAGGGACCCCTAGGAGGCAAAGGGGGTGGGTGAGGGGAAGGGTAAAGGGGGGTTAAGAAAGGAGGGAAGGGATATGAAGGTACCTGCTTGAGCAGCGGGGCGCTTGACACTTCATAGGAAGACCCTCCTCCCCTTTCCTCCCTCGTCACCCTCTTGCTGATGACGTACGCGAAAGCACCGAGGACGAATCCAAGGAGGGTGAGGGGGAGAGCGGCTGACATGGGGCTAGGCGGGTTTCTTCCCTCCTCTCCGCTGGTCAGGATGGTATCCTGCTGCTGCTGCTGCTTGCTCCCGCTGCTGACGGGTCGGACGATCCACACGCTGTCCTCCTCCTGCTCTCCCTGCTTCGGGTTGGGGATCCAAGTCCACCGCATGTGCGAGGCATTGAAGACAGACAGCTCGCCGTGCCCGAAGAACTTGCCGTTGCGGTAGGCCGAGTATGGAGGCTGCGGCAGCCAATCGTCGTAGAGGCCCTCGTGGTTCCCTCCGTCTCCCACGTTGATGTAGGAGGGAGCTGAGGACGAAAGTTTCCCTCCCGTCGCCACCCCCCAGTTCCGCTCGTACGAGTGCACATGCCCGGCGAACACAACATCCACCGAGTAGCGGTTCAGGATCTGCTCTGCCCAGCTCTTCATCAGCTCGGTCTCAGCTTCCCCTTGGTGGTTCCTGTTGCTGTTGTAGAAGGGCGCGTGCATCCCGACAACCACGAACGGCGTCTTCCTCCTGTCAACCGCCTTGAGATCCTCCTCCAGCCACTTCCGCTGCACATCCGAGGAGACGTCATGCATCGCTCCCCGAGTGTTGTAGGTGTTCAAGCAGACAAAGTGGACGAGGCCCAGCTCAAAGCTGTAAAAGCTTGCTCCTCCCTCGTACAGGATGTCGTTGCCCCGTGCTGGCCCCGTCCTCTCCGGCAGCTGGCTGGGCATTCTGAATCTGTGACGATACGCTGTGAAGGTCTGCAGAGGCTTCAGGCGCAGAAAACAACCTCCTCCTCCTCAACCCCCTCCCCTCTCTCCTCCTCCTCCTCCTCCTCCTCTTCCTCTTCCTCACCTCTGCCGTCTGCGCGTCGAGCTCGATCTCGTGATTGCCCGGAAGGACCATGAGTGGCAGACTAGCAGCAAGTCAGGGAGAGGAAGAACGCGAAAGGAGGAGGCGGATCGACCTTGCGGACGCTGGCTCCATCATCCTCCCCCACGGGTCCCATCTGTGCCCGTCGCCGTCAGCATAAGGAAGGTCTCCGATGATCCAGCTCATGGCGTAGGAATTCTCAGATGCTCTCAAGCTGCTTTCCACCTTCTCCATGGTATGCTGCAATACCCAGCGAGTCAGGAGCTCCTCCCTCCCTCCCTCTCCCTCCTTCTCTCTTCCCTCCCTCCCTCCTTCCCTCCCTGTTTCCTCTCTCCTTTTCCTCCTCCTCAGCTTCCGATCCCTCCCTCTCCCTTCCCTCGCTTCTCCTCTCCCTCGCTTCTCCTCTCCCTCCCTCCCTCCCTCCCTCCCTCTCCTGCTCGTCTTCACCTGGCTGTGAATGGTCTGCCCGAGGTCGCCGATGACGACTATCTTCATTACCTCGGATCCAGTAAGCTGAGCGCTGGCATCTTCCATCAGCGGCATGCACAACACGCCACGGGAGCAGAAGAAAAGGAAGCAAGAGGAGCAACGGAAGCAAGGATGACAAACCTGGGGGCTTGTCCTGGAGCAGGAGGAGTCCTGAAACGAAAGACCGTGTCTCTATATTGGTCGTTCCCTGCCATGAGTTCAGCCCAGTCACGCCAGGAGTGAGGGCGCGCGACCTGCTGCAATGGCCTTGCGCTGCTTGACGCCAACCTGACCGACGGCACGTGAGGAGGAGCTGAGGCAGACAGGAACGAAGATGGGGCTCAACCTGATAGTGGTAGAACTTGGAGGGGCGGAGCTTTCCTATGACGACATGATGGATGGAGGGAGAGACGTAGAACTTGGTGGAAGGAGAGTAGAATGGGCCTGAGTGGGGCATGAGATGCAGAGCAGGCTGACGAGTCTCCTCACCTCCCGATGAAGTGTATGTGTAATTGGTCGTCTCCCCCACAAAATCAGCGACGCATCCCGATGGCGCTGCGGTGCTATGAGGAGGAGCAACGAGGAGGAGGCAAGAAGATGAGTAACTAGGAGTAGCAAGGAGAAGCTACGAGGAAGAGGAGGAGGAGGAGGAGGAGGAGAAGGAGGAGGTTCACCGGTGAGAGTTTCCTTGCGCTCCGACACTCTCACAGACGGTACTTGACCGGCCGCAAGCGCCTGCAGACGCGAGTCAGAGGCATCAGTCACTCAGTGGCTCTCCGCTCTGGTCTTGTCGCCACCTGAGACGTCCATGTCACCGTCATCTCCCAGCCCGCGCCCGCCTGCCATCGCCCTATGGAGATATGCACTTGTTCGAAGGGACATGATTGGCCTTGAGGGCAAGCGACGAGGGGAGGAAGCGGCTCCTCCCTGCATGGTATCCTCTCCGCCGCCGCAGCCACCACCGCAACCCCGAGCACAAAGTGCAGCAAGGAGCGAGGGGGCGAGGAAGGTCGCATCGGAGCCGAGCGGCGTGCCAGGAGAAGAGGCAAGTCAGGAGCGAGGAGGGAAGAGAAGGCGGGAGAGAGGGACGGGAGGAGCGGGAGGAGCGCGGGAGGAGCGCGGGAGGAGCGCGGGAGGAGCGCGGGGGTGGCTGGGGCAGCTGTGGCCGGGCTATGAGGAGGACGTAGTTGAGGGCTGTAACCGTTATTGTAACGAATATCTTATGTAACGTATCGTTATAATACGGTTACGTTTGTCAATGAACCGTTGCAAGAATCTTTTGCCGCCGCGGCGGACTTGACGATGGAGTAGAGCGCAAGTGAGTTGAAAGTTGGTACACCGCCATGTCCCTTCCTCCGCGTGTGATGCCAGCGAGACCCTCCAGCCTCTCCCCCTGCCCGCTGCCTCCTCGCCAGAGCGGTTCCTCCTGCTCCCCGAACCGCAAGATGACCCGAGCAGCGCGATCGGGGCCGTGTAACTTGAATCTTTGGCCGCGGTCATATCCAGATGGTGTTGCTGGGCAGGAAGAAGATTTCAGCGATGAGGAGGAAGTAGGAGCAAAGACGAGAGGAAGAACTCGGGAAAGAACACAATCCCCTGCTAGAGTCTCGGATGCGGAGAGAGATCCGTCCCGCGGCACTCCATCGCAAGGCATGAGTGGGCAAGGGGCCAGCGGGTTTGCGGGGCTGCCTCTGGCTGTGGAGGTTGATTACAGGTGGAGGAGGTTGGAAGTGCAGAGGCAGTGACTGATATGAATGTTGCAGCTTGGACGACATCATAGGAGAAGGAAGCTTCGCTCAAGTGTTCAGGGCATGGGATTCAGGGGGAGGGATGGTGGCCCTAAAGATGGTTCGACCAGAAGATCACTTCGACGATCTTCCGTTCGACAGGTCGCAATGGCCTGCATGCCCATGCGGTGATGTACCATCACGTTTGACATGGGCGCAGGACGGAATCAGACGAGCAGGAGGGGGACGATGAGTTCAGCTACTCCCTCGTGCTCCAAAGTTTGCAGGATGAGCTCAAGTCCTTCCAAACCGTCGGGCGGCATCCGAGCATCGTAGAGATCGTCGCTGCCTCCGAGGTTGGGGACATGGTGGTCATGGAGATGGCAGAGATAGACTTGTATCAGTACATACACCGCCACTCCAAGTTTCTCACCCTCGACCTGATTCAAAGTTGGAGCGCACAGATCCTTCATGGGTGAGAACCTTGGATCTTTTCAAGGAAGAGGGCGTGCTCACTTTCGGAGCAGCATCGATCATATACACAAATCGCAGATCGTCCACATGGACATGAAAACGTCCAACATCCTGATTCGATGCGACGGATCTGTTTGTAAGTTTCACAAGGCGATGCTGGTTGACTTGTTGACATGAGCGTTGCAGGTATCTGCGACTTCGGGCTTGCGTGGTATGAGATGTTTACCTTGCAACTGAGACGTCGCCTCTCACATCTCTCCCTTCAGTCGCGTGGAGGGACACAAGGAAGTGAAGAAGGAGCTCGTAACCCTCTGGTATCGTCCTCCTGGTACGCCTCGATCCTCCTGCACGGCTTGAGCTAGGCGCTGTCTGACAGGAATGGCAGAATTGATCATGGGCTGCACTAAATACTCGTGCGACTGACTTGCCCTGTCCTCACAGCCTTGATTCTCATGACTCTGCCCAGGAACTCGGTGGACATGTGGGGCTTGGGCTGCATCGTGCTTGAGATGCTGCTTGGGGTACCTCCTCCCCTGCTGCCTCTGGTGTTGATGGCTCATGGCAGAGACCCGCTTTTCAAGGCCGCAACGATGCGCGATGCACATGCACCGTCTCTCGTCACTGGAACTTCAACAGCGATCAGGTGCCGTTGCGATGCTGGCGATGTGAACCTTATGCAGCAGCAGCTGATGCAGATCTTCACTCTCCTGGGAACGCCTGAGGAGCACGAGTATCTGCAGTCGATGTCCTGCTATCGACACTTCAACTTCTGGCCAATGTGAGCATCGGGATAACAATGATGTAGTTGATCGCGATGCCATTAGATTCCCCCGCAAGTTGGAGCAGTCGATCCAAGCTTCCCTCCTCGTGATCGGGGGAAGGAAGAACGCAAGCGCCGTCCTGTGCGAGGTGGAGGCATGGATGCAGCTCCTCACGTCTTGCCTGCAATTCAACCCAGAGAGAAGAGTCTCTGCTCGTCAGGTCGGGTTTCTCCCTTGCTCCCCAATCTTTCCCACTGAGGCTTCCCATGCTTCCCAGACCCTCGCGTGCAGAATATTCTCTTCGGTGCCTCAGGCGGACGAGTCGGACGACTCCCCGAAGGAGGAAGGGAGCAGGAACTTGTGTGCTCGTCTGTCAGGGTTGTCCCTACAGGAACTTCAAAAGCTTGCAGGGAGCTCCGGCTGACTTTCATGCAGGATGCCAAGGAGATCCTCTCATGGAGGGAGCAGATTTCAAACTTCTGCGTGCCTGCAAGCACAAGTCCCCTCAGCCTCCCCGAATCAAAACGTGTAGAAATGTAAACAGTGAAAAAGATGAAGAGGCTCAACAAGGATTTCTCGATGTAGTGAACAATATGAAGGCTCAAAAAGAATCTCGATGCAGCGAGAGATTAAGACCAGAGACGAAATGGCATCGAAAGAATACGCTTCACTCATATAATACTCTAATCTACGAGCCTATGGGGCCATGCGAACTAATAAGGATCCGCTGATCTCTTGAGCGATCCGCTTATCTCCTCTTGAGAGTGGAGATGGTCTGCTGGAGGACGGAGTCGGCGGTGGCAGCAGAGACCTCGATCTTGACAGACTGGGCCTTGACGAGCATCTCGTCGTCCTGGGAGTTGGCCTTGGCGCCGGTGTACTCCTTGTTGGCGTGAGCGGTGCATCCCCTGTGGTCGAAGATGGTGACAACGGGAGCGCGTCCGGACTTGTCCATGGCCATGGAGAGGGAGGTGGCCGGGGAGCGAAGGCGGGGAGCGGGAGTGGAAGGAGCGAAGGCAGCGGCAGAGCCGATGAGAGCAGCGAAGGCAACAGAGCGCATGGCGTATACCTGACGTACGCTCCTCTTTGAGCTATATACCCTGAGACGGGGGGGGATTACCCCCACCCCTGGAACAAAGGTCGAGGGTGGTGTAGACGTAAATCGGGTGTATGTTGAACGACGGTGGTGGTGAAGCTCATGAAGGTGGGTAGTTCAAGGTAAAATGATGGGTACAATATCCATGCCTCCGAAAGTAGGGGTAGGGTAGGGGAGGGGGAGGTGGGTTCCAAATTGAGTTTAAAACTTTTATAGAATAAAAAAGGATATAGCCATACAAACATTTAAACTATAAACTTTTTTATGTTTACATGGACTTTTAACCAGCCTCGAATCCACAAAGTTTTGCCCTCAAACTTTCGACATGGTCGGCAACTTCAGCAAGACGAGCCTGAGGAGCTAAGGGAAGGGGGGGAAGAACGGGGTAGGGGGTACCCGGACCAACACTGGAAACTTTGACAACTTTCCGAATCAAACTTTGAAACTTTGAACCTCCTGCGGTGGAGTCGTAGTGACATCACAATGGGGGAAAGCTACGATAACATCAAAGTACGAGTCTGTTTTCGGAAATTGCACTGGTAATTGGTGGGGTAGGGTGGTCTGTTCAAGGTTGGATTTATGGTCGCATCTTTTGTGACACGACAGAAACAGAAAATCTGGAGAATTGAGGCCGTTAAAATACTTGTATTATGAAAATATTTCGAAAAGCTTTCGGTTCACAAAAACTCTTGGTATCTCCCCGGAGATCGCAGTGATTTGAAGATGAACATCTACTATTTCGAAACTGACGTGTTTATTCTGACCGTCGTATTCTAGCAAACCACCCCCAGTTTTCCTTAGATCAACCAGGGGTTGTGGGGGTCAATGGGACGTTGCGACCTCCTGATGGTAAAACTGTTTTATAAAGAGGACTGGTCCAACTTGGATCGCTCTGATAAGTACGGGGTACTCGACGACCTTTATGGGCCCTCTACCCCCCCTTGCTAGTGTCGGAATGAAATGAGGGTGGGGGTAGTTCCTTCCCCTGTCTCCGGGTATATAGCTCAAGCAGGAGCGAGCGCCAGGCATACGCCATGCGCTCTGTTGCCTTCGCTGCTCTCATCGGCTCTGCCGCCGCCTTCTCCCCCTCCATGTCCCTCGACGTCTCCCGCCGTCAGGTCGTCCAGACTGGAGCTGCCGCCGCCGCTGTCGCTCCTTTCCTCCAGCAGGTTCCTGCTCAGGCTGCCATGGACAAGTCCGGACGCGCCCCCGTCATCACCATCTTCGACCACAGGGGATGCACCGCTCACGCCAACAAGGAGTACACTGGCGCCAAGGCCAACTCCCAGGACGACGAGATGTGCGTTAAGGTTGCCTCCGCCAAGATCGCCGTGTCTGAGGGAGACGCCGCAAGGAAGCTCCAGGAGTTCATCTCCTACCAGGCCAAGGGCATCGATGGACCTTACACTGGCAAGGGCAAGAAGTAAACAGCAAGAAGATGCTAGAGATGCGCATGGGCGCGCGTGTTTGAGTAGTTTTGTATGCTTTTTGTGTTGATTGAAGGCTATTCTTTGAACATGATTCATTGCTGTCCGACACCCCTCTACATACATGTTGTCACATGCTGGTGCGTTGGTTTCCGCTGAGCATCTGGATCGCATCCTCGAAGTTGAAGCAATGTTGAAGCACAGCATGCACCTCCGCCTCCTGCTAAACAATGAGTCGGCTGATACCAGAGGGGATTTGACCTGGAATCCCATCCTGAGTAGAGTCTCCCGAAGCTGCTGCTGAGCTTTCCTCCACTCTTGCTCCTCCTCCTCCTCCTGCCTTCCCGGTCAGCGTCATCAGGGACAGCTTGCCTCCTCACAGCCTCGTCCTCTTCCTCTTCTGCGTTGGAAGGCGGCCACGTCAGCATCGGTCAGGAAGGTCGAGTGCTCACCTTGGTCGACAGGCTCCTCCTCCCCCCGAAGTCTGCGCCGAGAGCACACTTCCTCCTGAGACACGAGGCCGTCAAGCATGCAGGAGAGAACGACGAGGTTACGATGGCGCGCAGCTCCTCCCTGCCCATCTCTCACTCGCTGGTCAACTCAACTTCTCCCAGCCTTCTCACCCTCCGTCCTCCGAGCAGTCGCGGACGTCCAACCGAGCCACGTGCTCGTTTGCCATGACCTGCGTGAGGTTGAGACGGGGAAGAGAAAGACGGGGGGAAGTCAGGCAGCCGACCGCTTCTGACAGCACACGGAGAGCAGGACGGGAGAGCTGCGGGGAAGGTAAGACAGCTGGTCTGCTTGCTCCCTCACTCACGTTGTTTCCTCGCAGGGAAATGTCAGTCAGACTCCTCTTCGTCTGCATAGCCTTCTTCAGCCAGTGGACGCTACCGTCACCTGCCCTCGTCTGTCAGCGAGAACAGGAGGACGAGGAAGACGAGGGGAGCAGCAGGACCGAGGAGGTTCGCGTCCAGTTTGATCCTTCCGATGTTGGATCTCAGCCCGCGGACGAGGATCCAGGAGGCGAAGAGCTCCAGACCCTCGTCGGCGATCTGATTGTGCGACAGCCTGAGCTCAAAGATTCTGGAGTTGGTATAGAGGACAGAGCCGACCAGCCCTGCTCCTGCGTCGTGAATCTGCTGGGGGGTCAATATGGACGAGGACAAGGACGACAAACAGGAGAAAGAAGAAGAAGAGGGAAGAAATCAGGGAGGAATGGAGGACGAAGTGGAAGAGGAAGTCAGAGACAGGAGAAGGAGGTTTGTCTACCTGGCATGCTGACAGCGACAAGGAGGAAAGAAACGGCAGATGACGCAGATAGCGGGCTAAAGACATGGCGCCCTTATCGCCTAGGCTAGAGGAGGGTGAGAGGAGGAGACGATCCAACAGAGGAGAGGAGGAAGGTGAAAGAGTAGGAGAGGACGAGGACGAAAGGAAATGACAGAGGAGGGGCGCGCAGGGAGAGAGGAGAGGGGAAGGAGGAAGGGGGGGAAGCTCTTACTGGTTGTGACTGAGATTGAGCGACGTGAGAAGAAGGCGATGGGGTTGGGAGAGGAGCGACTGGAAGGAATCAGACGATATGCGGGGGGGAACTTTGCTGACCTCAAGCCCACAAGCTCCGATCCTGTTGTGTGACAAATCGAGGACGTGAAGGTTGTGGAGAGAAGCAGCGATGCTGACAAGTGGAGTCATGCCGACGTTGAAGATATCTAGAGAAAACAAACATCGTCATCGTCATCGTCATCGTCATCGTCATCGTCATCGTCATCGTCATCGTCATCGTCATCGTCATCGTCATCGTCATCGTCATCGTCAACAAACAAAAGAAATACCGTTGCTCGAGAGACTCAATTCGATGAGGTTTGAATTTCCCACCAGGCGATCAGACAGACACTGGAGGGCTGAGGCTTGAAACGAGTTGTGACTTGCGATGCAAACAATTAACCTAGAATGCTGCAGGCCGTTACTATCTCCTCCTGTTCACCTACATACCTCCTCCTCCCCATCTCCTCCTCCCATCTCCTCCTCCCATCTCCTCCTCCCATCTCCTCCTCCCCATCTCCTCTTCCTTCCGTCCTTCCTTCCTCTTTATCATTGCTCCCCTCTCCATCCCCTCCCTTCTTTCCCATTACATTCAGCAGCTCTCCCAAAACTCCGCAGCCATCCTCGCCTGTCTCTCACGTCAGCTGCTTGCTCCGCTAGTCCCACTCACCGAGTTTGTTGCCGGCGATGTCGAGGAAGGTGAGGGAGCGGCAGAAGCTGAGCCCCTCGTCTGCAGTAAGTGAGCTTCTCCTCCTTCCCCTCTCGCGTCTCGTACAGATCTTCACCCACGCGTCTCCTCTCAGCTCACATCCCGCAAGCCTCTGCCGCCTCCTCTCAGCGTGACTCCTCCCCTCCCCTTTCCTCCTCCACCAGGCTCGTCAGGCTCGTCGTCCAGCTCAGATACTTCCTGAAGCTTCGCAGCCTGTGGCTCTTCTCCTCCTCCACGTGCGTGACCTGACTCAGAATGAGAGGAGGAAGGTCACCCCATGGGAGCTACTTGATGCGGCAGAGGATACAAGTGCGAGGGCTGCTGCCAAGGTCAAGGGATAGGAGAAGAGCAGGGAGGAGGGAAGGAGGAGGAGGGGAGGAGAAAAGAACCTCGTCGCGTCTATTTCTGTCTTCAAGTCACTTGAGCTTTGACCTCTGCAGGCTTTGCTCACCTGCTAGCCGGTCGGTCGTGGGAGGCGGAGAATTTGTTGTAGCTGAGATCTGCACGGCACGGGAATGAGGAGGAGGAGGAGGGAGGGAGCGCAGGAGCCTAGAGAAGTGATGGAAGAGTTCAACAAAAGTCCATCGCCTGCTTCCCTTCAGCGCCACTCCTCCTCCTCCTCCTCCTCCTCCATGCTTTCTCACTCAAAACTTCCAACGCCACCAGGTCGATGAGGTTGTGCGACAGGTTCAGCTCCTGCAGGCTGCTGTTCCTCGACAAGCCTTCGGCGATCCCGTCGCCTGTCACTTCGTCACCAGCGAGCAGGACGAGTCACGTAACCTCACATCCTACTTGCCCGATGCGGTTGCTGCTCAAGTCCAGCGCCCTCACCCGTGACCCGCGATCCCCCAGCGACCTTCCCAGCTGGAACGCCCACTCGTCCTCAACTCCTTGATGGAGCAGCTGCAGCTCCTCGCCTGCCATCTCTCTCCTCACCCTCTCGATGATCTCTCCTGCTCTGAAGGAGGCGTCGGCCCGAATGCCGGTGCCTGGCCATGGCGGTGTGAGGTAAGAGAGGGAAGGGAGGAGGGGGTACACCGTGCTTGAGGGGAACGAAGTCGAAGGACGGGGTTCGCAGCGTCTTCACCTGCTCTTGCGGCCTTCCCATCAGCCTCGCTTTCGCTATCACAACCGTAGCAGCGGACAGTAGAATGCGATCTGCCTGCTCTCCCCGCTCTCTCCGCTCTTCCGTCCTTTGCCAAATGCGATCAGCGGCCTCCAGGTAAGGAGGAGAGTGCGGAGGGTTAGCGGGTAGTTGATGAACGAGAGGAGGAGGAGGAGGAGGAGGAGGAGAGAGGGAAGAAAAAGACAGGGAAGCCGAGGATGCAGGGGTTATCGACTCCAGAGGAACAGCGAGAGCTTGAGCAAGCCAGTCGGACCAGAACGTCTGATACTTCTCGTTCCTGCAGGCAGCAACAACGTCCTCTAGCCTAGGCCTTCTCTCCGTCTTCTCCGTACCCCTCTCCCTCCGCCGCGCCATCGCGCGAGCCAGGAGCGCCTCCACCGTCGCCATTGCGGCCTGGTATCGGTGAGCCCAAGAAGTCAAGGAGTAAAGTTTACTCAACTGGAAAAAGAGGTCCATAAGTCCGCCCCAGAGAAAGACTTAACAAGAGAACAAAGTCAGCATCAACCTCACTAGCAAAGAATCCTAGACAGCAGGAGACGGAGGACCGTGTACCCGGGGCGAGTGTCGGGGAGGCGGAGCAAGTCGACTCAGGGAGGAGGCGAAGGCTAAGAGACGAATGATCGAGACCGAGTCACTTCAATGAGTTTAACTTGTTAGCGTCCCCTCCTACGCGCTACCAGGTCGCGAGTACAGTCTGCTGGAGGAGAGCTGGCGGGGGGTGTGAAGCGAGCCAGTCAGGTTCTCGAAGCGAGGAGCCTCCTGATCCTCGTGCCGCTGCCTGTCGATGATGACGAGCCTCCAAGAGCCCAGCAAGTGTATGAAGGGGACGGGGAGGTCGAGGAAGGGGATCCTCTCCTTCACGTGCAGGTACGCCTGCATCAGCGGCAGCCTCTCCGCCTGCATCAGCCACGCAATGGCGACGCAGGCGGCGCAGACTCCGCCACCGGCCTCGTCGAAGATGAGGACCGCGAGCCCCTCCCGCCGCGCCATCTCGACCATCTTGAGGTCGCTCGCCAGGTATGCGATGGGCAAGTCGCCTGAGATGCCAGGCATCACCTCCACCTCCTTCCCCTGCCCCCCGCTGGTCTCCCTCCCCGACAAGAGCGACGGCAGCGCCGAGTGGTAGCAGCTCACTCCCGGCAGCCCATGCTCGCTCGCGCCGCTGCCGGTGCAGTCGAGGAGGTACCCGACGCCGAGGTCGCGAAAGGAGCTGACGCGTTTCCCGTCCACCATCTCCACCTCCTCCGGCCTCGCCCTACCAGCAGGCAGTGCGCGACCTTGACCGCTGACTTCCCGCGCAGCCGCAGGTCTGCCTCAGAGGCCAGCGGTCGCTCGCGGTAGAGGAAGCCGTTGGCGTTGACGAGGTTCTGCCCGACGCTGCTGGCCGTCAAGTCCAGCACGTGCGAACTAGACGGGCTGAGGTCCTCCACCGACAGCCTCACTGACATGCTCGCACAGACGGATTCCCATCGCTGCTGAACCTCCAGGACGGACGGGCGGAGGTTGGGGTCGCGGATCAGGATCGCCTTGAAGAAGTCAACGAGGAGGTGGCCCTGAGGCAGCTGCTGGAGAGGAGCGAGCCTGTCCGAGGGGAGCAGGTCCTCAGTGCTGCTCCCCGTCACCCGTATGAAGAAACGGATCCAATCCTCGTCGTAGAAGAGAAACTCTCCAGTCAAGAGCTCGTACAGCAGACACGCGAGGCCCCAGACGTCGGAGGGCTTTCCTGCTCCTCCTTTCTTCCTGCGGTCATAGCTCGCCTTCTCTTTCCTCGAGGCGTTGGCGACCGTCAGCATCTCGGGGCTCTTGTTGTACTCGGTGCCTCGGTTGCGGACGGTGCAGGCGTCTTGGTGGGCGGAGAAGAGTTTGCTCTCACCGAAGTCAGCCAGCACCACCTCAAAGTCGGGGGACGGGCCTCGTTGCCTCACAATCGTCTCCTCAGTCTCACCCTTGAGCGGCATCACCAGCACGTTGTCGCACTTGAGGTCGTAGTGAACGACCCCAACATGGTGCAGGCGGCAAACAGCCTGGATGACTCGGCTGCCTATGCTGAGCAGCAGCACGGTCTGCGCTGTGAGGACGTCCTTGCACTGCCTCGTCCTCCACTCTTTCAAGGACATGGAGTACCAGGCCGTAACGATGTAGCAGTGGTTCGCATCCACTCCATAGTCGTACAAGTAGCAGACACGCGCCTCCTTGTGCAGCGCCTCCATGATGGCGACTTCAGTGTACAAGTCCAGCAACGTACAAGCGTCTGTCATGGTCTTGGGCAGTTCGATCACCTTGACGGCGACTTGGAAGGGCTCGGAGGTGAGGGAGGCCTTGTAGACCGTCCCGAAGGCTCCCCGGTAGCGGATGTTGGGGTCGCGGTTGCTGTACCTGGAGGGGTCGAAGAGCTTGGAGCAGAGCAGCTTCATCAGCCGATGACCCTTCTCTCCCAGCGCTAGGATGCGCGGGAGGAGGAGGGAGAGGACTTCCTCGTTGGCAGGATGATTCAGATGAGTCCGAAGGAGGAACGCGAGATTCGGGCGATGATGTTCGAGGGGAAACTGCTGCAAGTGGTACCAGTCCAAGAGAGGACCGTCGGAAGACATGAGAAGCTTCAGCGCAAGCTCAAGCACCATGCAATGAAACTCCAAGTCTTGGTACAAGATTCTCGTCTCCCTCCCACGGTAATATGTTGAGTTCTTCGATAAAGCCTCTGGCCCCAGCTGAAGTGAACGCGACGACCTGCTCTTGTCCTTGTCCTTGTCTTTCACTTGAAATCCTTCCTTATCAGCAAGGGACTTGCACATGGCCAGCTGAAACTTGGGGTTTGAGCTGTCGACTGACTTGGACAAGAGCGAAAAAGCGCCAGAGTCCTCAGACTCAACGACGAACTCATCGCGACGAGACGAGGGAGAGCGAGGAAGAGGCTTGAGCAGCCGAATGAGGGGCAAAGAGCTGCGATGCCTCGAGATACCTGAAACGCTCTCAACCTCCCTCGCCTCCATGTGCCTTGAGCCAGCAAGTTCATGATCGCTGTCATTCAACCGCAGCTTGATCGTGCTCCGCAGCCGCTTGTACTCCTCGATGTCCACGTCTCCTAGCGAGTCCTCGCTCTCCGACCCCGTCGATGACTCCCACCCTCCCTCCTCCCCTCCTCCCCTCCCCTCCTCCTGTCCCCCGCTCCCCCCTCCCTTCACCGCCCCGGCTGGTAGCTTCAGCCCTAGCCCTCCCCTCCCCTGCTGCCCCTGCCCCGACCTGCTCCCCTCTGTCCCTCCGATGCTCCTCCTCCTCCTCCCTCCTTTGGTGAACACCATCACCCCTGACCCGTATTTCACTCCCCGTAGCCGCACGCTCGCCCCGTCCTCCAGCTGCTCTCCTCCTCCCTTCCGGACGCAGACCACCGGGATCTTCACGTCCTCTCCTGCCCCCGTGCATCGATACAGCTCCTCCGCTGTGTTGATCACGATCATCCCGATCCCTCCCGCCGCTGTCACTCGTCGCGCCTTCTCCACAAACGACACGCCTCCTCGCTCCACCACCACGATCGCTCCTTCCACCGCCCCCGCGTTCTCCAGCTCTCGCTCCGCTTGGATCGGTACTGCCCTCACCGCCCTCCCCTCTACGTCCTCCTCCCCCCCGAACGTCGCCTTCTCGAACTCAACCTCCACCTCGGCCTCCCCCTCCTCCTCCCCCTCCTCCTCCCTCGCCTTGCTGTGCTGCCTCACCCATGACGGTGGCTCCCGCTCCCCGACCTCGTCGCCCCCGCTCCCTCCCCCTCCTCCTCCTGCCGACACTCCCGCCAAGTTCAGCCCTAGGCCTCCCGGCTTTCCTCCCCCTCGCTTTCCTCCCTCCCCCGTCCTCCTCCTCCTCCTCCTCGATCTTCTCGCCCGCCTTCTCCTCTCTCCTCCCCCTCCGGCACCCCGGCTAGCTCGTGCTGGTCGTCGTCTAGCCGCAGCTTGATCGTGCTCCGCAGCCGCTTGTACTCCTCGATGTCCACGTCTCCTAGCGAGTCCTCGCTCTCCGACCCCGTCGATGACTCCCACCCTCCCTCCTCCCCTCCTCCCCTCCCCTCCTCCTGTCCCCCCGCTCCCCCCTCCCTTCACCGCCCCGGCTGGTAGCTTCAGCCCCAGTATGGTTATTGAATTCGCCTTTGTGTTAGGAGAAGCAGAGGTCTGACCTCTGTTAATGGATGATCCTGTAGAACCGGACTTGTAGCCTTCCAAGTTTTGTCTTGTCTTCGTATCTTTCAAGCTCTCAGGGGCTGGTCGTTTGTGTATCGGGAGAGTTGAGGAGTCGTTAAAGTGCTCCTGGTTGAAGTTCAACTTCTTCTTTGACGATTTCTTGTTGCTGTTGCAGTTCTCATTCTCGACGTCGGTCATGGAGGGGTCAACGGGCTGCCGCATCTCGAGCGAGTCATCACAAGCTCTTGTGCCGCCTCTGAGCGACTTGTCTTTGTCTCGACTTTTCAGGCCGTTTCTTGTTCTCCGACTGACTTTCTTCGAGCTGGACATCTTGACGCTGGGAGTGAATCGCGAAGTGTCAGCGACAGACGTCAAGTCTACTCCCACGTGCCCGTTGCTCTCGTACTCCAGATCCATCTGCAAGGAGATCCAGTTGACCACTCGCAGAGCTGTAAACCGCTGCTTGATGGAGGGAGTCTGCGAGCCTGAGAGTTGGATGAGCACGTGGAGGTGAAGCCTCGACATCTCCGACGCCACCCGATCGCCGACGACCTGCGAGAACCTGAGGAACCCCAGGAAGTGAAAGCCAACGTAGTCGTCGATGAGCATCCTCGGCATGAAGGTTTGCATCACACCGCTCTCGAAGCAGGTGACGAGGAAGGCGAAGATCTCTCGGACAAGAGCCATCTCCTCGCCACGAGGTGTGGATGGCAAACTCTCCAACACGATGCCTGCCTTGGCTGATATGAGGAACGCAAACTTCGAGCACAGCAGATCAAACGAGACGGCGTTCTCATCGTGCGTCGGTTCATGAGATGCTCTCAGGAACTCGTTCAACCGGCTGCTCTTCTCGAACCTGACGTTCAAGATCTTCATGCAGATGCTGTAGTGCCTGAAAACCTGAACCTTCAAGGCCTCGACAGCTCTGTAGCCATCGCCTCCATGAATGTCCCCCTGAGCGTACAAGAACGTTTCATAGCCTTTGAAGTCCAGACCAAGCATGTCGTCTGAGCTAACGGCCTTGGAGTATTCCTGCACGATTTCACAAAAGACCTCGTCCTCAAATATGATGGAGAACCAATACGATTGGAAGCTCTCCTCCAAGAGTTGTACCACCAAGGAATCCATTAGCTCAAGCCAAGTGTGAAAGCAAACGATGTACAGGATGTTGAAGTCAGCTATCAGCGCACTGTTCGCCATGAGAATGTACTTGACCTTGAGCAAAGTCTCCATGCACAGAAAGATCACGTGCATCTTGATGAGGTGTGAGCTGCGAAGATTGACGTAAGAGGAGAGCATCTTCAAGGCTAGGGCAAGACTTGAGCTGCCGAAGACGTTGGGCGAGTCAGTGGCACAGGACAACTGATCGCTGAGTCGGAAGACGAAGAGGTCGACCTTGTTGATGGCCGTCAGCGAGTCGCTCCCGACCTTTGACAAGTCGTTGAAAGACCCCAAGAGAGTTGACAACTCCACGAGCCTTCTCTCTGTAACCGCCTGGTAGCCTTTGAGAACCTCGCACAGGGCCGGCAGGCAATCGGGCAGGGAAGAGGTACGGAAGCAGTGGCTGAACTCAAGGAACAAGAGGTTAACGTGCTGCTCGATCCAGTCGCTCTCTATGTTCATCACACTGAGAAGCTGAAGAATGACCAAGAATATGTCCAGCTTCCGCCCAGCTACGTACGATGACTTCGAAGCGCTCTCCGACTGTGCCATGTCCCGATCGCCTGAAGTCTCCTCGTCCCTGCAGCTCTCTGGGGACACGTTGGCGTGTCCTGGTCGCTGTGAAGACATCGCCGCCATGTCAGCAGCGATGTAGTATCTGCTCACATTCTGAGCGACAAGCTGGAGCTCTTCGAGGGCCGATCTTCTGTCAAAGACGCCAAGGCGGCTGCTGTCCAGGTCCAAGGAGGGGAACTGACTGTTCCTGCGCGTGGCTGAATCTGCAGCAGACTGCGGACTATCGAGATGAATCGCAACGTGAGGGAGAGCGACCTGCCTTCTACTCGACCGCGTGCTTGACCTCATGGGAGAGTCCAACGCTGACAGGCCAACAAGTTTCAGCTTGGGGATGCAAGCAGGCGAGGATGTCGACTCTTCTCCTCCATTTTGCGAGCGATGGCTGGGAAGGGCTGAAGAAGACTTGGGAGACATGAACGCCAGGTCCCGTGAGTTGGACATGTAGGACAAGGCAGATGCTGACGAATACTCTCTCGTCTTCACACACTGTCTCATATCCTCGGCCTCGCCCTGGCAAACAATTCAACGGAAGCAGCACAGAAACGTCTCAGCTCGGACTCACATCCTCGATGCGCTGGTACTCGACATCTATCACACCTAAAGAAACGGAGTCAACGCAGGTGCCTCATCACGCACTTCAAGGTTACCCTCCTCTTCGTCTCTGCTGTCCGTATCATTCCACTCGTCGAGATAATCCGCCTTGAGTTCCTTCACCGGACTGAACCGATGATGCAACCTACAGATCAAAGACTGAAACTGATCGTTCTTCAAGAAGAATTTGCGTGATGGCAAAGAGTGCTGCAGCAAAGAATCCATGTTCGCCATCGCACGTTGAAGGTTTGTGCCATTGTCAGCTGCAAGTTCAAGCTTTGCGATCAACTTGGGTCCAAACAGGTTTATCAGGTCGGGCTCTAGATCGAAGAGAGCTTTGAGCACTGCGATTGTGTCTGTGTGCAAGTCACGTTCTGTCTCATAGTCAATGAGGACATGGCTCAGTATCGCTTGCATCCTGTCGTCCAACACCTGACCCGCCTTGTCCAGCAGCACCATCGATCCACGCATCGCCTTGAGCAACACCTGCATGTGCTCGTCTTGTCTCTCACTGATAGCTCGACTCAGTTCTTCTGCAACTGATTCAATGTTGTAACTCCCCACAAACTCTGCTCCCTTCATGCTGATACTCGATCCAGCGTTCTTGTTGGCTTTGAGCAGAAGCGGCGATGCTTTGTGCTTCCTTCGGACGTGAAACGCATTGAGTGCTTGTTCTAGACTTGTGATGATGTGAGTTTGTGTGGAGTCATGGAGCTCGATGGAGCAAGCTTCGAAGTTGAGCACGATCACAGCCGTCTCTATCTCCTCCTCCTCCATCTTGCACATCAGCAGCTGATGAGCGCGGCAGCGACAGATGAGGAGGTCACGGTACTTGAGCTCGAGCCTCACGAAGATCGCAGAGACATCGCGATCGATGAAGTTGCGGTAGGAGGCTACCTCCACTAGGAACTTCTCAAACTCTCCCAGCCACCTCCCGCTAATCCTTTCGACAAGATTCAGCGACTTATCATCCAGCACACAAGACGCTGGTCCCTGCTTCCGCATCCTCCACCTAGCAACGACTCCGCTGAGAGCATGGTGGTGTACAGACACCCTCAGCCGGTATGACAAGACGACTGGCATGCCGGCCCGAGCTGAGGCCTGAGACCTGAGGAAGGCAGAGCCAGGAGGGAGGAGCGAGAAAACGCGATCAGCATCGTCATTTCGGAGGAGAAAGATTTTCCGTCCCTTCTCATCCTCGCACGAGCGCTGGAATCTCCTCTTCAGCCGCCATGCTGTGCTCCATCCTCTCTCTGCCACCCCGTACGGAAGCCCCTCCCCGCCCGCCATTGCCCGCGTTGAGAAAGAGGGCGATGACAATCACGGTTCGAGCCGTCACCGGCCCGACCGCCTGGTAGCCTGATCATCGACGGGCCGGGCCCGGCCGGCATGGCACCATCACTGAGTCAGGCTGGTCACCTCCCCGCTCTTGACGGTACTACAGTTGGAGTAAAGGGTTTCGCTGCCTTGTCGATTGGATTCCAATTAGCCTGGTACTGGCAGGATAGCGGCGAAGTTTACTCAGAGAAGGTGACCCTAACGCCGGGCCGGGCACTCAGGCTGAGGGCCCGACTTTACTCCGACAACGCACCCAGCGTGCCCGCTTCAGTAGACTTCTAAGGAAGCAGAGGGCCCGTCCGAGGTGGAGTCCGGATCCTCCGTGCTGTTTGCGAATGACAATTCGTCTAACCTGCAAGGGATTGAGTAGCTGCACGATGGCTCGGCGTTGCTCACCGGTCCAGCATCTCATTGACGTTGGGGACGTGAGACCCTCGCTGGGTTGGGGTCAGTTGAAGGCTCTGTTGACCTGACTCACCTGCAGCGACTGCTCCTGCTCGTGGATCGTGCCCATCTGAACCTTGTGGAAGCGTCAGGGGCGGCAGCAAGAACGGCTCGCGGCACCTCATCCCCTGGCGGTATTGAGAAGTTCATGCCCATCTTCCTCGCCTGCTCCTCAACAAGCTCGTTCTCGGTGACTGCTGCTGCGTCAGGTGGGGAAGCGAGCATCCAGACGGCACCTACGACATCCTTGGGGAAGCGATAGGCGACCTTATGCAATGGGACCATACCGAAGTCGATAGACATCTATAGCAAATTATGAGGTGGAGCAGTAGCAGCAGCAGCAGCAGCAGCAGCAGCAGCAGCAGCAGCAGCAGCAGCAGCAGCAGAGTCTGGTTGCTCGCTGCAACCTGAAGGAGGTCAAGTGGCATCTTATGGACGTACTTGTCCCTGTGAGCAGAGCCCAGTCAGTTTCCTTCCTCCTTCCACATCATCCCCCACCAGGTCTCCATCAGCCTCCTCTTCTCGATCTTTTCTGTCCAGCCCCACAAGTTGTGTACTCCCTGCGTCGCCGCTCAGAGAAACCCGCCAACTGCCTCTCCCCGCCAGCTGCCCACCTCACGCGCTCCTGCCGCCACCAGCAGCTTGCGGATACGCTCACGTCGTTGCTTAGAAGGACCTGCGAGTGGGTGAGGAGCAGGAGAGGAGAGGAGTGAGTGA